TCCGCAACTCCGGAAGGAAGTGACGGAGACAGAGACGGAACCGGATCCGCTTGCGGTCAGCGAAGTGGCACTGCCGGAATACTTCGGTTTCCCCTGCCAATTCTCATCCCACAGCAGTCACTCTATCATCGACGCTATTTAGTCTCAATACAGAAAGAGAGCTGAGTAACCGACTGGGGAGATGCACAAGGTCTCCAAAGGATGACTCACTCTCTTCTGACGGACAGCCTGACACCAGGGCTGAACAAAATACAAATATAACTCCATACTCAACACAGACATCGACAACAATAACCGGTTGGCCTCTGTTGTGCTTTTATGGCTCATTTAACGACGCTGTCAGCAGCACAGGTCACACAGATACACGGTGGGTGAGGAACTGACGAGGCCGTGGGAGAAATGAATTCATGGCCTAATTCGGGGTACTGTCCTCATAGCCGGCGGGAAAGACTGGGGAAAATCTTCCCGGTACCTTCCCAGTGAGAGGCAGGAGTTGCTATCCCCTCCACCGCGACGTTCTATTTCGTGATGGGAGCCCAATGTGTTTTCTGTACAGTACAAACTGAATGTGGTCGAGCGTGCAGGTAAATGTGTAGCGCCACTGTACACCCCTGCCGCAAGCCCTTGCTGTGATGACATACCAGCTTGCTTCTGTACAATGACGCATCTCTGCAGCGGGCTGATGTCAGGTCCCGAATATGGCATTACTAGCAGACTCCAAGCCGGTCACGGTAGCCGAGCGGTATAAGGCTTGTACTGTCTTCGCTCGCTTGGAAACCGGGATCGTGGGTTCGAATCCCATTCAGGGCATGGATGTTTAGTTTGACGCCTTGCGACGAGCTGATCACCAGCCCAAGGAGTCCTACCGAATGTGTAAGCTCTAGAAAAACCGAAGTGAACGGAGAAGTTCATGGAGGTAGGCCTAGGCCCACTGGGGCTGTAGTGCCAAGGGGGAAAAAAAGAAACCGACGCCAGGGATCTGGGTCCTTGATGAGAAGCTACAGCTGCAGTCCTATTATCCTCTCATCTATGCCTGTGTCTTCCTAGTTCTCTATCTGCGGCAGGTTTTCCTACAATAGACGTGTATGCAATTCTCTTCCTCCCGTGCGTGCTATTTCCCACCCGTCCTATGAGGGGTACAAATTATGAAGCTCCCCATTATACGGTGTGCTGCATCTTCCCGCTACCTCGTCCCTCTTACGTACTAATATTCTCACCGCTGTTATGATGTCACAGCTAATCTTATCATCGTGGTGATTAACCCGTTGTGCGGCATACGCCCAGTCGGGCTTATCTCAAGCACTCAGCCCATTATCTCCTGTACCCTGTATCTCAAGTGCATTTCATTTATCTGTGGCTTACCTAACGATGCTCTCCATTATTACAATCATCAAGTGATTGGAAGGGTATGTAGCATGAATGCGAGAGGAGTGGGAAAACTTGAAGGAAAGAGGCCAACAGCAAAACCCACACGTAAATGGGAGGAATTGACCTAATGAAAGTAGGAGGGGCTGGTTTGAACTGCATTATTCATGCTCACAACATGGATCGGTCGCATAAAATGCCTGGGGTTTCTTGAGTGGCGGCTCCATGGAGTCAGCAACACTGAGCACAGAATGGCAGCTATGTACTGCGGAACTACACGCATCAACTCACCGGTCACGGCCTGTCTATTCGAGAGGTGCTCGGTCAGGCCGGCGCACCGGCTATCCTAACTGGTTCTCGTGCTTTGCCTCAGTCTCTCCATGCTTTCCTGTTCCCATATCATTCGGCGCTGTACGAGATACTGACGTGAGATCGTTGTAAAACGAGCCACACGTCGCATATGGTGCCCGTCAAGGCAACAGAAGCACTCCCCTCTCACGCAACCGGCCAAAGGATGCCAGGACTCGACCACACATTACAAAGCTCTGAGAGACTATGCTACATCCTGGAATGTAGCGGGTTCGATTCCCGATGAGGTCAGTGGATTTTCCAATTAACCCAATCCTTCCCAGCCGCACTATGGCCCTGGGGTCGACTCAGCCTCTAACAGAAATGAGTACCAGGGATCTTCCTGGGGGTAAAGGGACGGCCGATGCGTAAGCCTGACAACCTCACCGCCATCTGTGAGACGATTGTCTAGAAAATGTGGGAGCCTCGACATCTCACAACCCTATGGGCCTCCACGGTCTGTTACAGGGTTGGCTTTTATCTTAAGGCCTGGTTTCAATGCCCGTCAGATGACATGCTACTTGCAAACGTGGTCTTGTTCACCTGCTATTCACGTTCCCCTTCCAGCATCACCGGCGACTAATAAAAGTCATTCATGTACAACTTGCTTTAACGTTTAGTAATTCTGCATTTGTTTTGCATTTTATTCCCACCATAATTATCAATTATTTCGCTAACACGATTTGTAATGGAAACGCAGTCTTCTCTGCGCGGTACGAATTAAATCGTTAAATATTATTATTTAGGTGAATTTCAGCCTTCGCTGACGACGGAGTTTTGAAGGCTTCCAGAGCTGTCAGACAGTAGAACATGGTCGTGAGTCCCGTGGGACTCGAAGGCCAAGAATCACTGTGCTGACGACAGCCAGCAGCAATTTAGGAGTCAGTCAGTCACACTCAAAATTCTCATCAGCACACACCACGGGACCTGTGTACATTCTTCAGTTACCGGAGTTCTGGCTAGAAGACAACATGTAACCGGAAGGTCCTGCGACCGGACACCTCGACACAGGTTTTCTTGGTTTTCCTCCGTCTTTAAGCACAGGCCAAGGCAGTTTCCAAGTTCGAAATTACTACTGCGTGCTTCTCATGCAGCCCCCCCCCCGCAATTAAATTAATCAAAACTAAAGTCCTCTGATGTGAAGGTCACCATCTCGTCTTTCCAAATCATACCACTCTCAACCAATCAGAAAGTCAAAATTCCGCGGCTCCTGTCTGCGGATTCATAGTGCTTATTTACCTCGGCGCTTGAGTACCCAGGCTAGCGGGCACTACTCAGGCCCTTATGTATGAAACTGACCGGGTCACCGGAGTTCTATTTCCTCCTATTTCTCTCTCTCTCTCTCTCTATCTGTCTCTGTCTCGCGCTCCACAAGGTTAATATATAAGATTTGAGGCTTTCACGGCGGTGACTATGAAGAAAGCAGTCTTCTGGGATTTGGCACCGTGTATATGTGGTGCCAAATCCCAGAAGACTGCTTTCTTCAAGGTTAATATACTCCACACGAAAAAAGTTTTTCTTATAAAGTGACGAATCTCTGCTGGATCCGAGGTCCTCACGGCGGTCACTATGAACAGTACGGTCCTCTGCGTTGTGACGCCGGCCTTCCGGCAGAAATATACCGACGCTTCGGACCAACATACTATGTCCATCTTCAGGGCCGAAGATTAAATGAAGCAAATAACCAGCAAAAAGCAGGTGACAAGAAATGTAACTTCTCTGGGACTACACAGCGTTCGATCCCAAAAGCCAGTACTTTTGAACGACGGTGATGGTAACCGCCAACCGCAGTAACATCCCCGGATTCGAAAAGCCCCGCAAAGAGGGAGTTGCGTGCAACGATATGCACACCGTGTATCTATCTACCTATCGGGAAGTTATCTCGCAAGATAACTGAAGTAAACCATTTGTTGTAAGTGGCATAATCGCCTCATCCGTAGTCCTGATAGAACAGGCGTACAACTTTGCACTCCTCTGACAGACATGATGACCGCAATCACTGGAACTTTGACTCCACAGCAATCAAGTTCTGCGAATTCGCATTGATATGGCGCGATCTCTTTCAACAAGTGCCATTTGCGTCTAGTAATGATTCTTGTAAATCAAATTTCATTCATTAAATAAACGTTCCAATTCCAAAATGAATCCAAAGTGGCCGCTGAGAGCGCGAAGAGTTCCTCATGGCACTGCACATGATACGACCACATGCCATTCAAATCTAATATCCAGTGCAGAAAATAATTATGGCTGGAGAAATTCACATGCAACTGACAAATTACAGTTATTGTTACCGGTGAGAATAATTTAACATCAGAATTTGAAACCAAGACCACGCACAGGGCTACATATGTATACCTCCTGAAGTCGTTAAAACTCTGGTCTTCTGGATTGTGTGACACCGTACAGTTTTGTTTCTGATAACAGCACTGAAGATGAGGACATGTTCCTTCACAACGACAGTACCAGTCCACAAAACTAAAAGGTGACAAGAATCCAGAAGACTACAGTCTTCATAATGAGCGATTGGAAACCTCAAATTAACCAGTTCATCGCAAACCATCCAACTGGGTTCTGTACGAACGAACGGCTGCTAACACGGACGTGAAGTGACAAGTTCCCTGCAGAGCACGCCACACGCACTCGTCTGGCCGACTTTGGCGCAATGGCAACTTACGAACGTGCGTCAAATAAGCCGACACCACACTCCACCATAAAACAATAATTACTGTGTTATGGCCATCCGTTTTCAGGCCGCGTTTGGCCTACAGACCTAACGGTAATACCTGAAAACTACTCCATGTGTAGGGGGTCTGTAAACATTTTCCCGGGCCGCTGACCCAGGCAAACAAAGCCCAAATAAATAACTGGCGTATTCAAATCGTAAACTAAAACTGCACCGATGTAAAATCACGCAGCGTGAATCAGACATGAACATGTAACCTGAATTCAAATTCTAAGTTGACAACTAACAAATTTTAATAAGGACAAAATTAATGTAAATTATATTTGCCAGTTGACAGACGTATGGAAGGAATCGTGTATGGCAGAGCTTAGAATTATATTAAAGACATTATGTATATAGTGAAATAAAGAATCGGTTCATTAACTCACTTTAAACTGCAATGCTGTATTAAGTACTAGATATTTCATTTAATTAGATTCCGTCTTCAACGGCAGTTACGCCTACACCCAACACCGCTACAAGTACGGACATATTTAATTAATCACTGCGCTAAAATCCTGATTTAACCTACTGAAAAGTAAAAGAGAAAGTTGATCATCTTTACCTTATTACATGGTCCAGCACCAACAAAGCATGATAAACTGAAAGCACGACTTACATCAAACACTAAAAGCACATTAGATCGACACACTACACAAGCAGCCGCCGCCATCTTCCCCCACTGCCACGGATGAACTACACACACACCTGAACATAACATTGCGACCACCGCGAAAACGAAGCCCACATGACGTTCAGCGCAGTCGTGTCAATGGACAGGCATGTTACGCACTGCTCAAATAAGAAGGCTGTGGCCATTACCGCTATGCCGCGAATTTCAACTCTTCTCCGGCACGCCCATTTACTTCTAATCGTACTTAACTTTGTAACAAATGTTCAGCAAAGGTAACATTTGAAGGCAAGTATTTCAATACAACAGTTTGACATATAGTCTAGGTTTAAGCTCCATCAGAATAATACTGTAGCCATTGTCTCTATCACCAGCACATTATGCAGATGGTCCAGTTTACAACATGGATAAGCTAGCTGATATAATAGCAACAGCTACCCAAATGAACTGTGTAGCCTATGCACTCTTACCATACCTCTTTGCTAGGATAGTACTACCCACTTTAATGCACTGGATTTTGTGAACACTCAGGCTGGATGCACAAACTTGCAGTTACCTACCACACAGTATCCTACAAATATCAAGCTGCAGGATGTATGATGCACTGTGGGAGGAACAATGGAATTGGTCAGAGGTTTAGCCCTTGGAACGAGGATACTGAAACTCTGTGACAAGGTGACTCACACTGAAATCTTGTGGCATGCTACATGTTGCTAAATGTTAATCTAATGGGATACTGTCCGCCTACTGTAATATCAGACAGAGCACGCAGTAACTTTCATCAGTAATGTGTTGGGAGCTGCAGGCACAATAACAACACATTTCATAGCCTGCAAGGAGCCACTGCAACCGATCTGCACAAACCTTTCATAGCTATTGCATTAAGTACAGGCGTAGCTTTGGCCTTCTTTAGTGCAGCAAAACAAATGTCACATCAACAGTTATATGTAATTTCAGTACATTTAATATGTGGTGGGTTTGTTTTGAACATTTCTTCCCTGTGTGGTTCAAGCACACATCACAATACTGTCATTAATTCAGGCTGGCAAGCAATCGGCAGCTTCATGATATTAGCAGCAATGACTGTTTGCATCATCACTGCATTCTGTATTTTCCACTTCTGTGGAGTTATAAGAAATCGGGAAGAATGAAAGGAAACATTGCAGAGCTTCCATTGCTCTTGCTGGAGCACCTCGGTATTGTCTTGCAGAGGATGTTCATTGTGTATGAATATTACCAGATATACTTGCAACCATGTTATCACACAAAACATGGAAGCCATCATAAACAACAGTCAGAACTCATACATTCCTAAGTTCATTCACCAGGAAGAATGAATCATCTCCCATCAAAGTGAACATTAAAACCCACCAACCCATGGCTGTCCCAGTTGCAGAGCGAGAAGTGCTTCTATCATTTCCAGAGTGTATAAGAACATATCTGGCAATGAGTCTGTGCCCGAACACGTGACTGTCAAAGTGTCCGCAGCTATTTACAGTGCATGGCACAGAGAGAGCACAGAAGCAGTGCCCATACAATTGCCAACTCAGATACTGGGCTCGTACATACACGCTACAGTGACACACATGGGGTATGTTCACAGAAGAAACACACTCGTTTATTGTATATCAGTGACATTGCTTAGAGACTACTCAATCGAGCATATCCATCTGCAGACGCTGGTGAAAGTAGATGTACAGAGCATGAAACTGAGGCCTCAAATTGTCCATGATGCGGTGCGTTGGCACAATAACTGACAGTTGCAGAAGCTAGAAATCTCCAGCAAGCCACAGGCACCACAACCTGGAGTCAGAATATGTGTAGTGGATAACCCTGAACCATCACAATGATCTAAACAACAGTGAAGCCAATGTAAGTGCCATGTGACACAAGCCAATCCTGTCTGTTTCAAATTCTTCCTTCTAATGTCAACAGTGCCAGCAAGAATGAAAAGTCAGAAATTTTGCATCATTCAGTGATGCTTTAGAATCACTTACACTGTACAAAATTAAATTCTGAATTTCCATTTCCCTCTTACAGTTAAATTGTGTTCACTGATGCTTTTCTGCACCAGTAACAGATATCATCAAGTGTGTACATTGTACTATCAGTAGCTTGTTATATCCATTGTTTAATTCAAGTAAAAACTGAAACAAGAATTGCTTTCCATTATTTATTGTCATCTTCCTCTTATATTTAAGGTACGTAAAACATATTGACTCATTCTTATAATTACATCATAATTACAATATTAAAATGGCACCACTCTATTTGTAAACAAAATGCTGTCAAGTGTACCGCCTTCTGGGTTTCCACACCATGCAGTTTCGTAGGAGTCCACTGACATTTCAGAGGAACATATCCTCATCTCCAGGATGCAACAGTTAGCTGAAGATAAATACTTGTCACCTGCTTCTTGCTTGACTTATATTTCAATCCTGATGATGGAAGCAGAACATTGCTATGAAAAGCCGATTGACTCCTACTCAACTACATGACTTTATAACCTGGAAGATTGTACTCTTCATAGCCACTGCCGTGAGAATCTCAAATCCAGTAACACATTGTCAGTTCAGAATCTGTTTACTCTGACTGTAAAACAGGCCCAGAACTGTGAATTAATAAAGGATATGGACATTATTATTATTATAAATAGATCACAATTAAACATGTCAACAACTGCAACTGTCCACCACTAAGACAGCTGTTGTAAGTCACTAATCTGTTGACTGCCACTCAAGGTGACTTGGTACACTGGTAATCACAATTTGTTATCCCATGCACATTACTGGAACCATACCACAAGTTATGCAGTAAGAATATGCCTGACATTTTCCTGTGGGTTACAATTCTGCATCTACCTGAACTTCAGAACTCACTTAAAATAAAGAAATTATTCTTTTCACAGTAACTGTACAATATTTGTAACAATTATGACCACAATCTGCTTCAAAGGATATCACCATTATATGTCAACTGAAGCTGCAATGAAAATCATTTTACTCTTTATTTATCACACTTGAGAGAGAGAATTCTGGAGGGAGGGGAATTAACACAGCCAAATTATGAACTGAAATAAAACTGCCTTCCTTTTGAACCCGCCAAAAAAAAGATGGACTTAATATATTGCAAATAATGTACATTAACCACACGGGAAAGCAATTACTCCACAACACAATATACAAAATTCCCAGTGACTCACACTGGACTATTTATTGACTTGACTCGGACTGGAACAGCCATTAGACCATTCTGTTGAGATGAGGGAGTATAGTGATGGAAGACAACACTACACTTAGGTTGTGACTACTTGTGTGTCATACCAGCTGTCTCACAAAAGCAAAATAAATAACTTGTTTATATTTCCTTTCACTACATGTTTCAGTCACAAATGGCTGTGTTTCACCTGATCACTGCATGCAGCGACAAAGAAATAAAATATAAAATGTTTTATTGTACACTTGTGAGATGGTTGGTATAAGACCAATAGTCTAATGACAGCCATAATTTAATTTACGAAAGGAAGAAAAAAAAACTTTAGAATGTGCACAGGACCTTATGTAGTTGCATTACCCCAGAATGTGCCATGTGACATCATAGTACACAACCATTCATTGTTATTTAGAATTACTGGATTTCTGAACTTTAGCTCTCATTTAGTAATCTCAACCAGAAACTGAAACCGTTTCCATCCTCAGATGACAGGGTGGAAAGGCACATACTCAGTTTCCAACTGGAATACAACTACATTTACTGCCACATCCCCCAATGTTGAAAGTTCATAGAAGTGGAGCATGGGCACTCAGACTTGTAACAATACTCACAACACTTTCATAAAACTGAAATTGTTCTCTCCAGTTAACAAACCTATCATGAAGTCCCTTTTATACATGTCTGTATGTACATATATATATGGTATGTGAACAGATACAAACAGCTGTACATAAGTAGCCTATGCAGATGTGTAACATGATCAGGTCAATCCAGTTCTCTTTCAGCAGTTTTTAACAGTACAATAAACTCAATATGCACATCACTTGAACAAGTGAGGTTATATGTATTTACATGTGATCTGTAACAAACACAAACTTACACTCTTATGAGTGATTCATGCAGATGACCTCTGAGGGAAGCAAATACTTGAAGAAGAATTGTCACCATGTACAACCATATTTGTCTTCCAAAAGAACAATATATAGGTAAAACCAGACTAAGTGACCATCTAGTCAGATATCCAAATGTCTGCCAAATCCTTTTATAAAACAAACAGGAGTGCCTGTATTCATCTATGACATGACTGCTTTCCTCATCAGTGTCACAGTACACAGTGGCTAACAGCATTCAAATTAAGGAGTTAAAGTTTACCTATGCAATTAAAAAAGAAAGCTGGGGGCTGAGGATCTGAACTGCATCCAGAGACTCTACAGGAACACATCGTGGTAACCACCGTGACTACTGTACATACTGGCAAGAGTACAGAGTTCTCCATTAGGTCTGCAGTAGGACACACAACAGTTACATTTAATATGTATATATAATTATGTATACCAGGCCAAGTCACATTTTTATACAAACCTGTTGGAAAGAAGTAAATACTCAACAATTTATATGAACATATTTTAAAACTGCCTTTCTCAATTCTACAAATGTTTCAATTCAAATCATTTACTTGTGCCAAAACGTTTGACATGGTTTACTAATAAAATCAGAACCCAGAAAATTTTCAGAGTGAAGGTGCTGCAGTAAAGCCTGCTGCTCTGCATATACACTCCTGCAACTGGCACGTAGATTTAGCTGCCTGAAGAAGGCTAAGAGCTCTTAAAGCAAACAGAATCTGAGGCATCTCTCTCATTTCAACAACCCCACATCCAAAGTCCTTGCCATAATGAAGATGTACCCATTTTCATAAGAAAGTCAACTGCAGAAGTTCTGCAGTAATAAATAAGTTTATCGCAAACAGTATGAAGGGAAGGTTGCTTGTGGTAAGGGCGTCAGAAGCTGCTGGACCACTCACCAGAAACTGGAACATAATGCCACAACTTATTTAAATGCAGACTAGAACATACCGTAGTTGAGGCAGTCGGTCACTGCTTTCACAGTGCAGAGGCCTGGGTTCTGTCTCAGGGAAATTCATGCAGGATGTGCCATGGACAAAATGGCACTTCAGATTTCCGCAGCCAATTATCAATTCCTGAAGCTGATACAAAAGGCCTATGTGTGACCACAGTACCAGGATGAGTGTCACCTGACTTCTACCACTCAAGGCTGGTACAAAAGGCCTACTTGGGGATGCAGTACCAAGGGACTCAGTGTCACCCCACCCCCAAGAATCAATGCAGACCTTGATTAGTCCTACTTGTTTGATCTAAATCGACTTGAATGCTTCCAGTGATGATGACAGTCACCCAACCAGCCAATGCAACATTTCCCCTCAACATTATCACTGGAAATGGATTCTTAATCACAAGACCTAGCAAAATATAACAAAATTTGAAATGAAGATTGTATACTGTGCACTGAAGGGCATGGAGGTAAATCTCCATACATCTGAAACCCTGAAGCTATGATGTGGTGAGCAACCTGCCTCAAGATCCAGTGGTATTACACATGGGTACTCACTCAAATGATGTGGGAGGGCATGTCCTACTGTCAGTGTGAATATGGCTGCGAAGAGAAACAGCTCAGTATCCCTACCAGGATTTGAACCTTGGCCTCACAGCCCATATCCAGTCACTTCACTCTCATGTACCATGGTTTACATATTTAAAATTATCAAAATGAAACAGACACATAAGATCTAAAAGTTTGTGACGATGGTAAATTGCTACAAGTAACATGTTTTTGGACATAATCCATCATCTTGTCTATTCTTAAAAAACCGTCCTGTTTCTTTTAAAACACATTTCGGAGACTGAATTCTGTTCCCGTCCTCAGGTAAAACCTACTCTGTTGGGTCTGACAGACAAAGTTAGCCCCTATCTCCAGAGACAGACAAGACAATGGATAAGGTCAAGAAACATATTACTTGAAACTGACACACGCTTGGCACTACATGCAGATATACGCTCAGGTCCAACAGACCCATGGTGTGGGGGTGGCTGGTACTCAGTCTAGACCAGTAACATTGGACAAAGAAATGGACTTTATCAAGGATACTTGTTGAGTGCCTTGATGGATGATTGTGTGGGAACCCTAGTAACCATTGGATTTCTGTGCACTTTGGCAGCCCTAAAATGGATTGTTCTGATAGCATTTCCTTGGCCACAATCACCATCAACATACATAAACACTCACCTTGACCTGAAGATGGAGATACCTTGTACCTCTGACATGTTGGCAACACTGCCCATATCCACATGACACAAAGACCAGAAGCACAATCAACATAAGAATGATTAACTGTGACATGTTGCATCACGTGTACTAGACACAGCAGCAGCTGGGAAAATTGTCACATCAGAGACAAGGCCTCCTTACAAGTGCAACTAGTTTTAACAAAATGCAACAGATCTGTGCCAGAACAAACGTGAGCATATCACACTGTACAAAAAGAAAAGCTGCTCTTGTGCATAAAAATGAGATAACTTCTGTTCTTCCCATTCTACTTCAATATTGGAATGATTACAGACAAACGTTTTCTTCACCATTCTCCCCCACGAATATCATGAGTCACAACGTTGGAAATAGCAACAGCTCACATAAGGGACACTGATAAATAAGGAGTGACAATACAGCGAGCAGTTACAGTTAACAGTCAATAACATGCAGGCTTTTGTTCGCTGGCTATCAAACTGTGGGTAAAGAAACAACTCTCATCTTCAGTCAGTCACCAGAGACATCTGGTGTCATAACTGTTGCTAGACACACCTGACACAAAGACAGCAACACTGCAAGGAGAACACCCATTGAGGAACACTTCTTATGAAATGCTTATAACCTCTCCAGAGAATTATATTTCATAAACTGACAGCAGTGACAACTAGCAGACCTCTCACCAGATCTGAACATACTGCTTTAGAAAACAAAACAGATTCCAACTTAATGGTCTGTGCTAATTTATTGCCTTACTTGATATACCAGGAGTCATTACTCAGATTTTGGTGGAGTCCCTCACAACAGGTGCAAGAGTTGGAGCCAATTTCCCAGCGTTTTGTGGAACCTGAAGGTTCATTACCCTGTTCACAAGAGCCTTCCACTGGTCCCTATCCAGAGACAGATCAGTCCAATCCATACCATTCCATGCTATCTCTCCAAGATCTATTTTAATATTGTCCACCCTCCTACAACTTGGTCTTCCCAGTGGTCTCCTTCCTTCTGGCTTTCCCACCAATATCCTACATGCATTCCTTTTCTCCCCCATTCATGCTACAAGCCCTGCCCACCTCATCCTCCTTCACTTGATCATTCTAATTATACTTGTAGAAGAGTACAAGTTATGGAAGTCCAAATATTCTAACACCTTGTCTCAAACACCCTCAATCTATGTTCCTCCCTTAGTGCCAGAGACCAAGTTTCACACCCATACAGAGGCACAGGCAAAATTATAGTTTTGTAAATTCTAATTTTTATGTTTTTGGGCAGCAGATGAGAAGACAAAAGGTTCTGGACTGAATGGTAGCAAGCATTACCCGGGTTCAGTCGCTCTTAATTTCCTCTTGAATCAGGTTTTGATTTATCATCATCGTTCCCAAATATCTGAACTGTGCCCCAGTTTGGAGCCAATGGAACATGCAAAATATCACAGGCATTAACAAAAAGCTTTCAGGACTGAGGTACATAAAAATGTCACTCTGGCCTCCATTACTAAGCATACACTGACTGCTCACTTAAATTCCTTTGTCCTTCTTTACAAGCCTTATTCAGCTCAGCATACTTGGAACATTGTTCAAATATTACTGGGGTGGTATCACTGAATGTTTCAGCATCATGAACAGCCCCCATCTGCTGCTTGACACTGTGGCACATAATGAGACAGGCTCCATCCTTACATATACATGTTTAAAGGTTGCCAACTATCAATATACTGTGACAGAACTCAAACGGAGCTCACAGAAGAAAGGCAATTGGAAGACAAGCAAACACAATACAAAATGATGCATTAAGACAGAACTGGAATAGGATATTTGGATAAAACATTTCACAAATCCAGATTTTAGCTGTTTCACGTGGCGTAAGGAAGAGAAAGGCAGCATATCACAAGTAAAATTGGAAGACCTAGAATGAGATGGTGGAATAATGTAACAATACAAAGGAGAAATGGGAGTATGGGTACAAGTAACAATTTAGCAATAAGGAACTTTCAGTGCTTACACAAAGTGATGATGATGATGATGATGATGATGCACACGAATGCCAATTGCTTTAGTGCAGCCAGCGTTTTCAGTTCAGAAAACTCAGAATGCATTCACCTGAACAAAGCAATCTAAATATATATATTTAAATGACTTTCATTTCCATTAAGATTATGGTCCTGTCAGATATGACACCAACTACTTTCAGTCAGGTACGAACATTTGGGAAGACAATGCTACTGCCATTTTTAGAGTAAAGCAGATCTTGGCTATTTTTAGGGAAACAGAAAACAATACAGAAACCATGAATATTCTGAACCGCACTAAGGCCATCTCATGGACGTTGAAGATGACGGCACCCAAGGCTTGCCCCTCTCTGCCTACTGTTTTAATCCTATATATACTATCATGGAGCTCACTGCCACCTGACAAAGCCCTGGATCACGGTGTCCAACAGCCAGACAGCACGCGGTGTTTCTTCTGTGGTGTGTTTTATAATGTGATCACTATCTGGACTACATGTATGATGTTGTTAAATGGTAGGATGAATGATGAACGTTAGAGGATCTGGAAGGAAGCAGTTGTGGCCTGATGTCCTTTCTTGGTACCTGCCTGCAGAAACTGAAGGACCCAAAAAACCTTGATCAGGACAGGTGGTATACTGAACAAGATTCAATCCAAGCACCCGGTAAATGCAAGGGTAGAGTGTTGCTGCCATGCCAACCCACTCACTGCGTGAAGCAGAAACTACTGACTGAGGAAAATCAAACTACTGATACAGATCACAAACCAGAATAAATACAACACGGACTTCCCTGGGTTCCACATGAAATTCAACTCTCCCACAGTCTTCATAACCCAGCAGAGACACAAGCAAGAACAGGCAGTTCATCTTAACTCATGATGACAACCAGTTCAGGATTGGTGACGACACAGGCACCTGATCATTTGGTTTAGTACACTTTTATGGAAGATCACACAATACACGAAGCCCCCTGCAATGTGCTACATCAGTTTATACGAATTTTCAGTGTTTTTACAACTGCTCTCCTTGCAGTGTTGCTCTCTTGCAAAGCTGATGAAACACAAGAGAAAAGCTGCCATTTGCTGTTTATTTCCCTGACAATACTGTAAACCATTCACATGCTCCTCTTGCATTCTTCAGCCATCAAACAATGGAAAAGATAAATAGAAAAAAAACATTTCTTACACTGCTGGACTAATTACATCACAACTTTTATGGCATTCTTCTGTAAATGAAGGATAAGAAACCACAACACTTCACACGTTCTGTAAAAGCTGCCTTGAACACAAGTTCCTTCAAGATCCATGATTCATGAAAGATGTGGCCTGAAGCACTGAGAGCCTCCAAAGGCAACTGAAACAAAACAGTTCACATTTCAGAAAGGGCAAGGGGATAACACAATACAAAAAGGTCACTTTATTTTACAGACTTCATTCTGTACACCAACTCCTTTAACATGCAGAAACTGTGCATTTCATCTGTGCAATGTATTCGTGTGTTTCGTCTGATTCTAACAATAAACAGTGATTATTTCCCTGAACAACAGTAAATACTGGTCTTTTCATGATCAGCAAAACTACACTGAGCAAATCTGCTCAAGTAGTAATTCTTCCTTCTGACTTGCACCCAGAACACTTAGTCCCTCAGACAAATGGTGGGATATTGATGGCTTCCTTCCACATCCTCTCCAATTCATTATACACTTATCATCCTGGATTTGATGCTACGTAGTGTGACCTACTGACAACTGTAAAATGAACTTAATAGTATCCCTCCACAGTCACCCTCACCTATCATCTGGGGCTGGTACATTAGCCCAGAAGTGGCTGCAGTACAAGGGACGTAGTCCCACCCCACTAGCTGCTGGGAAGTGCAAGACAGACTTTGAATTCAAGCATTTCCTTGCATTAACAGCAAACAAATGTACATATCTGAGTCAAACCATAGCTTTACAAAAACACAGGGAATCCAAATTTTCTAGACCATCTCTGGGTTGTGGGTCACCCACTGGTTATTCAGGTAGAGGCCAGGGCATGAAGCTGGCCGGCCACTCACATCCATCTGCTGCTCAGTTTAAGGATATGCAGCATTTAACTCCAGCCCCCTTGTGTCCTCACTGTGTAGTGCTTAATTAAGTTCAAGGTCAACTACTTCACTTTTACTTGCTTATCCAACCATTTTCACCTCAAGTTACATAAGATTAATGCAGATGTCAAGAATAGTCACACTGCCTCAGGTTTATTCCTGAGGAGAAGAGTGAACCATGCAACGGTTCTTCTTCGTGAAGTTCCTTGGAGTTCCCCCCCCCCCCAAACGCCAGGATGCAAGCCGTTCCTCTTTCTTTCCAGTTAACTTCTTTGACTGATGTCAGGTCAGCTGACCCTAGCCCCCCCCCCTCCTGGACTTAGACAGAGGTTTCCTCGGTAGTACAAGTGAATGTATCTTTCTCTCTTCCCAATGACCTCAGAAAGGAAACATCGCTGCGTCTAAATTTGGTTTCGTAAAGTTGACTTGATTTTGTTGGAAATTCGGTTTCGGCCCGCAGCAGTGGTTGAAGGGGGAAGAATGCCCTCACGACATGGTCAAGGGTGGATCAAGTTGTGAGGTAAATCTTTGAGTTTGTAAATTCAGCAATACAAGTAAGTGACTTACTGAAGTAATTATTTTCTTTCGATTATGAACGCCGTGTGGCGTAGGATAATTTGGTTTTGTCTAAGGTTGTGCTAAACAGCAGATCGCCCCTCAGGCGTGTATGTAAGCTGTTTATATTTCCTTGTGCCCTCAAGGCTTGCCTAAGTACATGCTTGTACTGGAGAAGTAGAGACACGCCATGAGGCGTGCCTGACTTGAGTTCTGTGCGGCTAGGCACAGCGTAGTTCTGTATCGCTCATTTATCACATGTTCTGACCAGTTACTGCCCTTCAGGCGGGCCCATCTGTATACATATGTTATTAATATATATATTTATGTATATGTTTAAGAATGCCAGTGGTGTTTATGTATACCTGTGCTGTATGTTCCATACCAGTTTCTGACTAGCGGATCCATCTAGCCTGGCCCATTGTGCCGACAGTGGTTTTCCTCCCCCGAGATCCCTTACTCGACCATAGGGAGGCATAGTGCATCACGCTACAAGCAAGTCGTTTCTTATGAGCCTGTCCCTTACCCATATCGAGCAGGGGTTCACAGGTCTAAGTGGGTAGAAGAACTGGGTTCTTTACCCACAGGGTCAAGGGACACGGCTCAAGAGCCAACTATTAATGGAACAGCTGCTGCTGTCGGTATCTTCTTATATGTTCCTCAATGGCTGCTTATCTTTGTAAACATTACTTCCCATTTACCAGCTGACACACAGTTCTGATCATCATTCAGCTGCAGTGCACAATCTTGTGGATCCATGTCAATACTGCAGAGAAGTTATGAACAAAATCTCTGCTACCAAAATCTAAAAACATTTTAATACTTCTGATATTCACAAACATGTTTTTACTGAAGCAGGTGATGATCTGCAGTCCAGCAGAAGTTCGCACACTTACTGTCTGACCATGAAAATGAAGGCAGAATGTTCCTCCAAAACACTGGTGAATCCCAGAAGAGAGTACTTACTGCTGTTGAGGACCACACATACAAAATGTTTTTAATCACTGTCATACCAAACACCTTTGTTCATCTCCTGGTTCCTCAGCTGTAAAGGAATCTGTTGTTGTTCATGATATTTTTCTTCAAATTCCATCTGCTCAAGGTCTTGGTATAGAAGAATAAGCGTTATAAGTCCTCCCATTTAAAGAACTGGCCTCACTCTTACATTTTAACTGCTGGACACACCTCAGCAGCAACCTGTACTCAAGAAGTATCAGGTTCAAATCGGCATTATACTCGATATCTTTTCTCATGACCCTCTGGGCAAATGAAGAGATTAACTTAACAGAGACAATGAAATTATTTTTTTCCTTGAAGGACAGAAGATATTCCAGATACAAGTATGTACACAGGAGCCAGACGTACGAGGGTAAGCCAGTAAGTAAGTTACAAATGGATACAGAACTTAAACGAATCAGTACTCTTATTTGTAACCTACTTATTGACTTACCTACGTATATAAGGATGTATCTAAAAGCAGACTCTGAAATCACATGGGAAAATTAATTCATTTTGATAATTTCTTTCAGATTTTTAAGAATGTTGATTGATACATAAGCAAGTTTCTGACAAGCACTTCTGAACAAACTGTTCTGACTGTCATTCCAACAGTGAACACTGAAGTTAAGTTGATACTCATAACATTCACTTTGCACAACAGAAATGAATACAAAAACAATGGGGCAGTCTGCTCACTCCCACTGACTATAAGCCACTTTCCTGTGCTCTTTCCACAGCTACCAGTGCCACTCAGACTGGTTCCCAAATTGAAACGAAACAGAGTCTGACCTCCAAAGGGAACTGCAAGTGGCACTCAACAGCAACACGGGAAATGACTTCCACGGGGCTTTCGAAGCATGGAAAAACGATGGGATCACTGTATACATTCCCAAGGAGATTATTTTGATATAACCCGACCATTCTTCATCTTTGCATTGGAGCACTCTGCTTCACGCCCTGGCCGCTTTACTCCCGGGGGAAATCACTCACAGTGCCCATTGGACAGGAAGCTGAGTGAGCCCCAGAGCCAGTGTCAACTTGGCAGTGAAGAGAAAAAACCTTGCCCCTGCTGGGATTTGAACCCTGGCCATCCAGCCCCTGGTTCTCTGTACACTGTGACTGACTGCTAACCATGGCCCTGAGCTGTTCAAGTTTCACCGCAGAGAAAACACTGCCTCAACAGTTTCTCTGCTGTTAGCCCATCTGTCCTGTGTGTCTGCACATCTATCCCTCCTATCATCGTTGAAATAACGTTCATGAACAAATAAAACACAAGCTGACAGCTGGGCTGCAGAATTCACTGACAGTCCTGCCATGCCAGGAAGTGCGCGGAAACGAAATGTCATTTTGATATCCACGCTGCTGGAAGACCAAAACACTGAAGCCAATGAATGGACATACCTCTGTCAGTCAATGACTAACTCTTCTGTGCCAATTAAACATCTTGCTACAATCCTGCTGTGATGTCAAGCTGTCACTGTGTCACTGAGGTCATCTTTCAGCCACTGCGGCACTGACCGGTGCCCCAACCGCTTCAGCAGCTTCACAAGAGCCGTGTTGTGAGACAAATAGTACCGCTGTGAACACGTAACACATGTCATTAGTGATGCCCCCCACCACATGGCAATGCAAAGGAACACTTGTACAACCCTGACTACCACAAATCCCATGAGAGGTACTGAACCCACGTTATTATTTCGCCTGCCCATTACTTCATGCTATCACAATTATATATGAACATACGTTCAAAACCCCCTAGTGTATTTTTTGGAAGTGCAGAAATATAAACCATGCTGAAGTTTGACCTACATTCAGCACATATGATCATTTTGTATTAAAAGCTGTAGAATTCTAACAATGTGACTTTGTACGATTTTATCCAAGCACAGTTGTCACTTTTTACATACTCCAATGTATGCATTTCAATTGTTCATTTAGCGAAGATTTCTTTAATCACTCTGTCAGGTGCCCAGACTATGCAGCAATGAATGGTGGAATGATTAATTAACTGAAAACAAAGTGGAAGGAAACAACCATTCCAAATTTTAAGGTACTATCCCAGCATTTGCCTGAAAGGACTGAGGAAAATCATGAAAAACCTGTCAAAATATCCAGTTACAGAGCCAAGACTTGAACCCAGGATCTGCAGAATATAAGAGCAGTGCTACCAATTCAACTGTGATACTCAGTGCGATTTTGCTGGATGCCAACAAATCTGAGGATAAAATTAAAGAAATCCTTACAAGATTTATTGCACCTATTAAAAAAATTCAGTTTTTCTGAATTTAATTATGTTATGTCACATATGTACCAATACACATGAACATACAACATACACTAATGCAACTTTAAGACAAACTGTGGAGAAAGGGTATTAAACATTTACATTAGGAGTAACATATGAAGTTACTCCCTGCGAGTTGGACTACACTACAACCGAGCGAGGGGGTTTCTACAACTCACAAACTATGTATGATAAGCGATAAGTGTGCTCACTGGCAAGTGTAAACAATATCAGAGCAAGAAAAGTACAAAGCAACCTGATACATACACAGTACCATCAACTTTCATCTGCAATGGAACCCCCATTTTATGTTCCTCATTCATTCAGCACTCAATTTCAGTGACCCCAAATGAAGAATTTTAGTATTAACTTCCCTCCACTTCAGATTCTGCTTCACTCTGTGTTCAGATCCACTGATCCACAGAGAAACTTCAGATTCTGCTTCACTCTGCGTTCAGATCCACTGATCCACAGAGAAACTTCAGATTCTGCTTCACTCTGTGTTCGGATCTACTGATCCACAGAGAAACTTCAGATTCTGCTTCACTCTGTGTTCAGATCCACTGATCCACAAAGAAACTTCAAACGGCACTTCCCAAAGTGGGCCTATGAAGCTTTCCCCGCTCCTAACAAACTGCACTGTCAATGGTACCACTACAGTACACATAAGCTGATAATGGAAGGCCACATCAAATGACAAACATACAATTCAACACAACATAAACATCATTAACTTACATTATTAATTACTTTTTTCATGAAACATCACATTTTAAGTCAGTTTTACAAGCTGGTGGGCCACAAACTTATAATAAGAGAACCTCACAGTGTGGGTCTAAAACATGACTGCAGTTCACACATTTTATGCAATAGTCCTCCTCAATCAACCATAATGGAATCAAGTTGCCTCATTTCACACCAAAGCAGAATTATCTGTGTTACATCACAGATGTAACACAGATTCCTACTTATCTCACTGAGTACAATTTGTTGAAATAAATCACCAACATAAAAATATCATCCAAAATACATATATATCATCCTTGAGAGAAACAACACATGGGGTATCACAGGGGTCAATTCTGGACCACTACTGCTTCTTCTGTATATAAATGATCTCCCACTAAATGTACAAGGTATGGAACTGGTACTGTTTGCAGACGATATGAATATACTTGTTATTGATAAAGATAAAGATGCAGGTCAACAGAAAATAAATAAGACCATGAAGCAGCTTGAAACACGGCTTCAGGTAAATAACCTTTTAATAGCTGTTATTTCCAGTCTGCTTTTACCGTTCTCACGGTCTTGTCGCTTGCAGATTTCTTATACTTTTTCTTCTACCCTGAAGATGGAGGCGATACGTTCCTCCGAAACGTTGGTTAACACCACATATACATGGTGCCAAATCCCAGAAGACTGCTTTCTTCAACCTTTTAATAAATCTAAAAAAAAAACAGCTGCTATGTCAGTCCAGCTTAGTAAAAATAGTTTCATAGTTAGACCACAGATTGTTTTCTTTTTTTATTGCTAGTGGGGTGGGTCTAAGTCCCTTGTACTGCGACCACTCAGCCCCAGATGATAGGTGAGGGTGATTGTGGAGCAATTGGTGGAATGAAGATTGGCTGGGGAAACCTAAGTACTCGGAGAAAACCTGCCCCAGCACCACTTTGTCCACCACAAATCCCACTTGATCAGACCCGAAATCGAACCCAGGCTGCCGCGGTGGGAAGCCAGCAACTAACCACTTGAGCTATGGTGCGGACTCTAGACCGCAGATACTCTATAACAACTTGGAAATTGCTTACTCATCGGAACTGAGATTTTTAAGTATAGATATAGAAAACCCTAAATGGAATACCCACATCTAGTCATTATGTTCAAAACTTAGTAAAACATCCTATATAATTAAATCACTAAGAGGAGTTTTGGGTCCAAATATGTTAAGAAGCATTTATTTTGGAAAGTTTCAATCGTTATTGAGATATGGAATAATATTTTGGGGCAGTGAAGGTGATAGTATAAAGGTATTTAAAAGGCAGAAGGGGGTGTTGCGAATAATTGGTGGACTCTGTAAACAAAAGTCATGCAGGCAAATTTTTAAAGATTATAGCATCCTCACGGTCACATCTTTGTATATCTTAGAGGTGTTATGTTACATAAAAAAGCACAAAGCAGATTTGATCCAAAATATAAATATTCATAGTTATAATACAAGAATAAAAAGAGGATTTTCATGTTCAACTCTGCAGAACTACAGTATTTAAAAAAGGTGTGGTAAATATGGGGATAGAATTGTACAGTAAGGCGCCAAACAAAATAAAAAACTCGGTGGGGTTTTCAGCTTTTAAAAAAGACTTAAAATCATTTTTATTGAAACATTCTTTTTATGATAAATGAATTTGTTAGTTTTAATAAAAAAGTGGATGGTGCAAGTACTTGTGTTAGGATGTCACAGCTGTATACAGTAGTTGCATATTTCTTGAAATGTTGTATTTATACATTGCTTATGATTGTAACAAATGTTGGTAGTATGCTTGTAACTTTGTAGATTTGTTTTGTTAACTTGTATTGCTGAATGACTTGTCCAAGTGTAGCAAAACGGATGAAAACAAAATACAAACACAAGTATGTGGAAATATAAGCACTTCTGTACCTGCAACAATTTGTAAGACTTGTCCTCCATGGGTGGATACTGGCGGCCCTTACTCCTGCCAAGACATTTTGTGTGGTCTTCATTTACCACCTGACAGAAGAAACCCTTCTTCGGGTCGTACCTGTAAGTCAGCATGCAGAAACTGGATTAAGACCATGGCAACATGGACAGGTGAGTGAACAAACTGACACTCATGACTATCAGCATCCTTCTAAACTTCCGCATCTCTGTGGCAATGTTGTCTTACATTTAATCAACCCAAATTGAGAGCCTGGCTAGCACAGTCAGTATAGCGACCAGCTATGGGCTGGACAACTACGGGGTCGGAGTTCAAGTTTTGATGGGGGGGAAGAATCTTTCTTCACTTTTCCATGTTGTCCAGACCAGCTCTGGGCCCCACCCGGCCTCATATCCAATGGATACCGGGGGCTCTTTCCCCAGTGGTAAAGCTGCCAGGGCATGAACCTCACCACCCACCTCCAATTAGTGCCAAGGTCAAGAAAATGTGGATTTATCCATCCACTCCCTCATATGCCTTCATGGTGTAGTGCTTAATTAGTTATGCACAAGGTCAACTTTATCTTCCATCCCCCCCACCCAAAGTGAGGGTTATGAAGTTTCATTACAAATCTGTTGATCACATTGTAAGACTTAGTTATACAGTCACAATAAAATAATTTCTTTACATCAGCAGTTAAAGAAACTGTTTCTACATAAATAAATACAAGTATATAATTGCCAATACATAATTAACTTAATGATTAACAACAAAATAAACACAGAAAGAACCTCAGTCCAGGATCAAAACACCTCTGACACCACAACCGGGTGGTTTCAGTCCATGTTCACTATGTGACGTCATTTGCCACACATCAGGATTGTACAATGACAATTGTCAGCAGAACAAAATATGAACATCAACGGTTGTTTTGACCCAAACTGCTCTAAATCAGTGTATGAGTTCTGGAAGGCACCTGTCAGCTACACTAAGCAGAGTTGTTTGTGGGTGCCCATCAGTTCCTGCTGTACATATCACACAGACCAATATTACCTGAGATGTTTCGAGTAATCAAAAGGTGGCTGGATCTTAAGAAAGCGCTGCAGCTCATTCATTGTTTCAACAGGGTTTGACCGCAACTGGTCACCATCAATGATATGCAGCTGCTGGGGCGGATAATAGGACAGCCAGCGTTCCAAGTGCTGAGAGTATTTCCCTGGATTCAAACACCTGCCACAGCAAGAGACAAATTGTTTCTTCTATGGACAAGAAAATGTGCTGATCAATTAGAAATAAAATGTAGCAACACTGCCCACGCATACCTGCCATATTCATTTTATACGGTTGTCGTGAACTTCAGACTTTATCGTACAACTCTGCATGCAACTAGAAGTTATATGCAATCTGTGTCAAATGAAAATTGAAAGCAGATCAAAAATGTTATGTCTAAAATCTTGCATCTTGCAGAGAAAGACTTTAAAAATTCTTAATTCACCATCATCCAGACTCAATACACTTGCAGATCATTTACAAACTAAATCACAATTTCAAAATATTTTAATATAGAAAAGAAGACGAGTCCAAAAGAAAATCCTAAACATGAAACTAAATGGAAAATGCTCACAAGAAGTCGAAGGAAGGAGAACATCAGAGGAGGAGCTTCTTGAAGACAGAGACAGCTTGTGACACAGCCCACAACAAGAAAGATGATTAAGAGCCACATTCCTGCATATGGTTGCATCAGAGAGACAGACAGACAGAACCCGATTCCCGAATGAATGCACAATGAAGTAGTTCTGACATGAATCAAGTCCCAAGTGCTCCTTCACACACTTTTAACAAAGTTCAACTGAATTTTGAATCTCATAATGCAAAAGATTTTATTTTTAGCGTGTTACTTTGCACTGCTATCAGTAGCTAAGACTTCATAGCATTTAAAGCTTCATCAGGGTACTCCCAGCATTTGCTTGCAGACACCTGAGGAATCTGCAAAAAGACATCAGCCAAAATAGCCAGTGTACCCGGCACAATTCAAACCAAGCATCGCCAGAATACAAACCAAGCCAACCAGTCTGGTAATTCACATGTAACGTAAAGCTTTCACCACATAAGATTCAAAGGAAAATTTAATCTTAAAGGTAACTTGAAGTTTTCACACTGCATCCATCTTCAGCCTGCTCCGAAGATGCTGATTAGAGGTTCTCAAGGTATCAACTATGAAGATTTCTATCTTCTGATACATAACATTACACAGTGCAGTGAGAATCAGAGAAACATACACCCTCTGTCTTCAGAGCCAGAGAGTAAGCCAGGCAGGAAACAGATGGACACAGTATGTTCTACCAGTGCAACATCATGCTACAAGAGTAACTAACTGACCTATTTCTAAGTTCCCGCAGAGGTTTGGGTGAAGTGTCACTGGCAGTAATGACCTGATGGAAGGAGTAGTTGAGCGCAACCTGGTCACCATGTGCTCGTGTATGTTGGTACCAACTATATGCCCGTCGTGCCGGCGATATAAGAATTGTCACCTGGAGGATACCACAGAACAACAGCCATAATAAGCAAAAACAGTATATGGGTGTGAAACATGGTCTCTCACTACAATGACAAAACACAGACTGAGTGACAGTGTTTACAAACAGGGTGCTGAGGGAAGTATTTGCACCTAAGCAGAGGGCAAGTGCCAGGAGGCTAGAGAAAATTTTTGAAATGTGAATGCCATTACAAATGCAATTCATTGCAAAAAGAGTCTACATGCTTCCAGGGCCGTTCATCAGAAAACACTGTGTTTATCCAAACTTCAACTCACAATAATAAGATGGAACTGAACATCATTGTTGAGTATCAGCACTCCTGCTGATTACTGAAATGGTCCCAAGTTCAAATTTTGGCCCCATGACTGGTATTCTGACTGGGTTAACTCCACTATCTTAATCTGCCTCTCCAGCCAAGAGTACCACACATTATGCCATGACTGCTTCCTTCCACATCCCTTCCAATTCACTATTTATTCCACACTACACAGCCTGACCTACCGAGAGTGTAATTAAATGAACCATAAATACATAAATATGGAAAAAAAATGACAAGAAAATTACTTTTTTAAGCAAACTATTAACAATCTCTGTAGGATTTCAGGTCCTCACAGCGGTGGCTCTGACAAGCTGTATCCTGCAGTCTGTCTAATGTCAACCCACTTCTGGTGCAATGTGTAACCTCCATCTTCAGAGTTGAAGATGAGGCTTAGCTTGATCTTTAGCCCTGAAGGTGGAAGAGACATGTTCCTCTAAAGTGACAGTCGACTTTCAGCAGCCTACATGACATCCCCGAAGACAGGCCTCTTCACTGTGACCTCATCACTAACTTTCGGTTTTCCAAGTTTAGCATTTTTTGGGTGTAGATAACTTCAATACTTTATATACTCCATGTTAAAATTAACTAGCCAAGTAACTAATCCCACTGAGCAAAGTCCTTCTTGAGGGGCTAACAGACACTCAACCACTCAAGAAATCATTCACCTTTAATGTAACCTGAAGATCCACTACCATGTCCACAGCAGTTCATAACTGGCCGCTACATGAACCAGATGAATTAATTCCACAGCTCACACCCAATTTCGTCTGTTATAAATGGAAATGACTCACCAACTTCGCATGAGGCAAGAGGGCATGTGCTCGCCTTGGAACCAGATCACCATCAAAGTATGTGGCACTCTTCTCAAACAGGTAACGAGCTGTGGCATTCTTAGGAACCGGGAAGAAACTCATGTACCTGCACAGTCATTTCAACAAGTGAACATGTTAACTTCTGTTTGTGTGACTCCATGCTGCACTTATATCACCAGCAGTCATCGAGACTGTTCACAATTCCTAATGAATGAACCCAAGTGAGCAGGTGCCTTCTCACCATTTCACCTGACAATGGAAACACATCAAAACACTGTTTTCTTCAGAATCCCAGGTGACACAGGATATCCATAAATCCACTGATACTAAAACAGTACAAAGAGAGACAGAGAGAGCCGACAATGTAATGTAACACAAATAAAGGAAGAAAACTGGTAGTGGGGGGTCAAACTTTCCTACCCAAGTCTGGGGTCAGTAACTCAGTTACGCTTTGTTCAGACTTCCTTACTTGATCAAGGTCAGATAGCAGACACCCGAATGACCAAACAGGCAAACACTCTAGATCTGGATTTGGGAGGTGCTTGGTTTGAGCCCTGACCATGACACCATCTATCCTGACAGATGCTACTCATGGCTTTTCTAAGTCCCACCATGCAAATGCTCGCATAGTACCTTGAATAAGCCGTGACTGCTTCTTCCAAATCATTTTCAAGTCTTCAATTATCTGGCCATCTGAAATTACAGTTTTGCTACTGAAAGCACTGCAAAAGTACCAAAAAAAAAAAAAAAAGGACAAGAGAAAACGTTCTCTTCCAAAACATATCTTTGGCACCGCCAGATAAAAGCTACCTTCGGCGATTCCTTGGACAAGTGTACGTGCTTTACAGCGAAATGGGCTGGGATGTCAGCCAGCAGCTACTGGGCATGAAACTGTTCAGACTGTCAGTGGTGCTACATAAGAACATTCAGAGAGTCTGTGCTCACCAATCCAGTCCCCTGTAGTAATTCTTGCCATTAAAAAACTGGATTTCTTCAAACGTGTCAGGACTTGGGAAGTTGCTGCTGATGTCAGGGTGCATGGACAGGAACGTGTAGAGAGCCGTGGTACCCGTTTTCTGGGGTCCAATCACCAGGAACCTTGGCAGCTGCTCACATGTTTTGTTGTGTGACCAGATTCTCTGATGCCTTACGTCATCACAAGGATTCTGAAACAAAGAGACGAGCTACTGGTCACTGCATGAAACCAAGGTGGCAATGAGAGAGCTTCCACTTGAACTTTCTGAAAATACTCACACCCCAGACAGGATCACCCTCTTCAGGATACAACTGGAAGTAGCGTTCTCCAATCTGCAGTGGGGGCGCTGTTATCAGTCGTAAATTGGTCCAGCATTGCAGAAACTTTATGACAGACTCAAATGTGTAAAGCGCCAGTCTGTCGTTCCCATAGTTTGACATGTGCGTCATGAAGATATTGATCTGTACAAAGTCAGTGTCACATCTGAGGTTATCACAGTGGTAAATACTAATGTTACAGTCTTCCGGTATGTCACACTGTGCAGTCTGGTCAGGGTCTTCTAACCCAGAGATGGAACTCATATCTATCTTCCACACTATACAGTGTCACATCTCAAAAGACAGGAATCTTAACAATTCACGTTTCTGATAAATCATGGGTCTTGCCTATCAGCACAGTAAAATGCAAATCTACATAATACCTCACAAGATGGGGAAAAAACAGAAATTTCATATTCTGTTTATTCCTTTGCATCTCTCAAGTATTCTTGGCCTGCAAAAAAATAATCTTTCTTTGCGAAGACCTGTTCTTAACCTCAAGATGGCAGCTCATCACTCCAGCTCTGTCTGTCTTCTTTGGCTTCTGAAAATCTGACACTGCTACCACCTGATCTCACGTCCATTTGCATATGGTCACCTTCAGGTTTACCAGCCAAAATTTTGTATACATTTCTCATTTCTCCCACTCCACCCACCTCATCCTCCTTGACCTGATCACCCTGAAGAGTACAGACAATTAAGCTCCTCACTATGCAATTTTTTCCCCATCTTCCTGTCACTTCACCCCTCATTTCAAAATTTTCTCCTCAGCACCTTGCTCTTAAAAACCTTTAATCTGCAGTCCTCCCGTACAGTGAGAAATATTCACATAATATTCTCAGTCACTAACTAGCAGCACTTCACAGTGCGACTCAGCTCTGCCATGCTTCGCCCACAACATATAAACATAATGAGGCTACAATAGAACTCACGGGATTGTACACAATTGTCTGGAAGAGTTCTCCCCCTTGAATGGCTTCATCCAACTTCTCACGACCCCCTGGATACCGCTGGATCATTATTGTGTGTGTGAACAATCCACAGGTTTGTCTTGGCAGCACCTACATAACACAAATCTCAATTCTAGTCCCAAGCAATGCGGCTGCTGTCAATTGTTCTCCTGGGTAAGACAAGTTTTGAGATGTGAGATCTCACATCCTCAGGCAGTGAATATTAAGATCACAGTCTTCTGGAATGCAAAACGTTATGAGACAGCCTTTACTGTGCAAAGTTATGACACCTTTCATTTATAACACAAATTCATAACCAAAAATCTTGTGCGTATATGTTCACAGTGACACTATGAAAGTGCAGTAAATTATCAAAAAACTAAACTCTGTGGCCCTTTAGTCCGCAAGAAAACTATACCGACTGAGCGACCGCCACCTGTCAGCGGAATTAGTGCCAACTTTAACGGATAGAGGGTGTTGCGTGGTCAGTGCAATGGATTCCCACGGCCATTAATTTCGGTTTTCTAGACCACAGCCCCTGCTTTTCCGTTCAAGTAGCTCCTCAATTACCCTCACAAGGCTGAATGGACCCCGTTCCAGACCCACTACTTCTCAGAAAATCTGGTAGCACTGGGAATCGAACTGAGGACCTGTGGATCTGAAGTCAGGAACTCTCCACAGAAAATTAATATTGTATACTAAACTGTGCCTTAACATGTGTGAGGTCCATGATATGTATGCCGTGTCCGTCTTGTAGTGCACTCAGTTTCACCTGTTATTTCACAATATGTTTCGGCAACATAGGGCCATCATCAGGTGCTCCATTTACGTTAATATATTGCATTGCTTGCCATTATGTCATTGTAAAATTATTTAAAAAGTGCGTATTCGTCAATTATAATAAACTTTTATACACTAAAATCTTGTTAAGATATTCATCTATATGTCCCAATTCAAACCCGCGCATGGTACCTCCACTATGGGAGTCGTTGCTCTTATACTCCGTGTATATCGTGTCTCATGATGTGTGTTCCCTTTTTGGCTGCGGGACATATAAGATGAATTTCTGAACAAGATTTTAGTGTATAAAAATTTATTATAATTGACGAATATTTTTAAATATTTTTTAAATAATTTTACAATGACATAATGGCAAGCAATGCAACAGATTAACGTAAATGGAGCACCTGATGATGGCACAATGGTGCCGAAACATGTTGTGAAATAGCGGGTGAAACTGAGTGCACTACAAGACGGACACGGCATACATATCATGGACGAAAATCAGTGCAACAGGACGCTAAAATACAACATTATGTGTGAGGTGCTGACACAGATCATAACATCACTAGAAAGTTGCTACTTTCCATTTAAACCTGACCAATGTCACTATTCTGGATATCTGACTCTTCTTCCATGAGTACTCCTACTTCTGAGATGAGTCAGACAGCAAGCAACACACACAAAACCACCGTCATGCCATGAGGACTGCCATCTTCTGGGATGTGACACCATGTGGCATGCAGGAGGCAGCACGTTCCTGCCAGATTACATGTCATCACTTCCCAGAAGATACAAACCGCACAGGATGTGAGGTTGCATTACAAACCATGATGTTTCTGTGAATGAATCCTCTTCGCAGTCGAGCTGGACGAAGATGTGGGTACTCCTCTGTGGATGTGACTCGGATATTCCACACTCTCTTCCAGGCTTCATACAGCATCTCATGCACTGGGTACACCCCCGAGTGGTGAGGGGCAATGGAGTAGCCGGAGTCCACAGGAATGCCATGCTCCTAAAACAGAGCATTGGTCCATAGCTTGAGGCTGCGCAAATCTTTCAAAACGTTCACTGGCTTCACATATTCATATTCTGACTTTATTAGGAACCTCTTTCCCATGTCCAAACAAACAAACTCAAGTAAAGAACATATTGTAGAGAGTACAATGTTCTTTTTGTAGGCTACATTGTACAAAAATTGTGAAATTTTGCAGAAAAAGGATAGAATGAGTGCACGACTCATGTGTATATGCACATGCATGGAGGGTGGTGGGTTCAAATGGCTGCAAAAATATACTTTTTAAAAAGTGAAAGAATATATAATTGAAAGTATCTGTCAAGAAAACATCACCACTGTTCCACTTTTACCTCATCTTCTGGCCACAAACCCATGCCAACAAATGGTCTGTTTCAGCCCTTGGACTGTCTCTGTTCAGTATTCTCTTCAAAGGCCACACAGATCTTTGTCTTCAGACAGGTGAAAGTCAAGCTGCTGGTAAGGGTGACTTCGCAATGACTTTCCCTTTCTTATCATGGCCTAACCAGCTTTTGTTCTTTTCGACTGTGTCCACGCTGGGTTCTGAACACATATTTGAACCAGAAGACTAGGCCTGAGTGACACATTTTCATAGGTCACAGCTTACAAACCAGTTCTGAGAACCAATCACTCTTCAGTGCAAAAGAAATTATCCCATGTCCAGTATTCTTCAATAGGTGGGTACCTTGGCAAACTCTCTGTTGAGGGTCATGTCCATCTCGAGCTGCGTGATGTTGTCATACAGGTGCGGCTGCTGATGGTTCCACATGTGACTGAACCACATGAAGCTGTCCACATTCTCTGAAACACAGCAGCACAATGCAGAACAACAGTATACAGCCTACCGCACACCTCGCTGCTACTGCTGGCCTATAATCACACTGACCTGACCACCTTATTTATTTATGGTTTGCCTAGCAATATTGTCAGTAGCTAAGACTGTAGGTTGATTACTGAATGAGGAACTGCACTCATGTTATGGTCGCGGGTTCAAGTCCTGATGAGGTCACTGGATTTTTATCAATTGACCTAATCCTTCCAGCCGCACTATGGCCCTGGGGTTGAGTCAGCCTCTAACAGAAATGAGTACCAGGAATTAATTAAAGAATTTTCTTCGGGAGTAAAGCTGACCTTACCACCACCTTTGAGCGGATTGTCTAGATAATGTGGGACCCTCAACGTGTCACAACCCTATGGGCCTTCACAGCCTGTTACAGGGACAGCTTTACTTACTTAATTTACTCATGTTATGGTCAAGATTATCACATGATCATCATGGCTGTTGGTTCACAATCACATTGGCTGAAAAGAATGTCACCTTCTATCAATATTAGAGCCAACTTCTGGATTTTCCATGGGGCAAACCCTGAACATTATGCGCCAATAATAATTTTAAGTTCAAATGTGACAAAAAGCACTGACTTTTGTTTATAAAGGCTTACACTTGTTCCTTCTTGGCAAACCCACTCAGAGAGGGCAAACTCCAAGTCTCTGATTCCTGCGTTCCACATTCGTCTCCCAGCACACAGAACAGTTGAAGGAGGAAACATTCAGGAAAAGCAGTGACTTAGCTGACTATAAAAGAAACCAGGGGCAGGTACGCAGGCCCCAGAGCCAATTTCATACACAGAAGTGGAGATGAGAATGAAAATCAAACACCAAATCATTAATCATCCAACCCACTGCATAGTCACTATACAGCTGACCTAAACCAACTCGATCTGTGCAATGATGTACAAATTGACATACAGATCCCGTGCACAAATCTGCCTCTGCATCCTGCAGACAGCAACTACAAATGGTAAGAACATAAGAAATTCTCATTACTTTGCTTAAAGGATAACTACACTGCAACACTTACCAAGTAAAAGGTCATCTCCTAGATTTTCTTCAGATGTGCCATGATGAAAATACTTCCCTGAGAACCCCAAGTTGAACCGAAAACCTGGTACCAACTGCTGAATTCGCTGCTGAGTTGCCAACAGCGCCTAGTGACAAATGCAGTCAGTACAGGATGTGAGGTTTTCATGATATGACACCATGTAGTCTGGTAGACAGCTGCCTCCATCTTCAGGGTAAAAGCTACAGATGGAAGCAGCAGGTACCTGTCCACATGGAGTCACACCCCACAAGACAATAATAAAGTCTTCATTAATATGAATACAGAATAAGTCCCGTTGAGTGCAACAATGTTTAAAATCAATAAAACGTTTATATGTTTCAGCCCACATCGGCCATTATCTGAAGGCAACCGACACTTCAAAGGAAATGCTCGTACATACATGACATGTAAATATTGCTTTAAAACATTGGTATTAAATAGCAAATAGTATCTGATTCAATTCATATAAAAAATCTTACTGCTTGGTTCACATGGACCCCACCTCCACCCAGTGACCTTCATACTTCATTACCATTGGTATGTAAATGCCATGTGCAGTGGGTCATCAGTATGGGGAGTTGCATGTTAATGGCTGTTCTCCGCTGTGAGTGCCAACTGCTCATGCACTAGCGCTATACTCACCACCACATCATCCTTCCTGAGTCGCGTGCCTTTCTCACCCACAAATATGTCATCCACATCAACCAGAAGGAATCTCTGAAGGCTCACACTCAGCTGCCCGTGACTCAGGTATGACAGAGAATCCAGGAAGAGCAACTTGTGGAGCCAGAAGCGAAGCCCACCCCCAAACAGAACTCGCTGGATCCCGTCATACACGCCATGGTCCTGTACACAGGGCAAAAACTCACAAATACTTCTGAACATTTTTAACAACTCACAATAAAATTTGATTTGTTTCATTCTGGTCCGTCACACTAACAATTATAAATACAGACTACTCCGTCCAATGTGACATATAAGTTTTTACTACATGAAAACTTATCTCCCTTACACATTTTGGTCATTATTGACCATCTTCAGAGGGGACATCATTATGAACTGGAAACTACCGTCACAATAGGTGTTCTGATTTAAGTGTATGTATTTTAAATCAAAACACCTACTGTGGTGGTAGTTTCCAGTTTGTAATGATGTCCCCTCTGAAGATGGTCAATAAAGACCGAAACATGTAAGGGAGATAAGTTTTCATGTAGTAAAAACTTATGTCACATTGGACGAAGTGGTCTGTATTTATAATCACAATAAAATATTCACAGTCACCAAGTGTTGTATTGACATCTGAACACAAAGTCTATATTCTGTTACAGAGAGTCCAAGCATGAACTCAGTGGAAGATGGTAGACTTGCATGATTTTAGAATGAATGGAGACACAAAGAAGGTTCTGAACATGAAACTAATGTGAAAATGCTCAAGACAAAAGGGAGCTCAACACAGCTAGGGAGCTAGAAAAAATGTGAGAAAAGGATCAATAATCCTGAGTGTCCATCTGTAAAAGCAGATGAGACAATGGCCTCTCCTGACCTGAGCAGTAAAAAATTCCAGTAATTATCCTCCTTACACAAATTGTTCACTAACAAGTCAACATTATAGTGCTCAGTACTGACAGTGCTCATGTAAGCCTAACACATCACACATTACTGAGTACTGACAGCAAAGATGGAGATCAATACCTGACACAGTCAATGCCATTTCAATATCAAAGGATCAAGTCCCACAAGCTGCACAAAGAGCAGGATGCTTTCAAAGGCCAGATGCCAGGGAGCATAGCTAAAAGCTGTAGATGGGGCAACATGTGACAGCCAACTTGGTACTTCCATAGAGCTTAGTATGAAAGGCACCTCAACTCTGGTCACATGTGATGCATGCATTGAAATGTCTTCCGCCTTCTGTTAATATGCACTTCTGTGTTTGTGATAATGATGTCGTCTCCGTGCATTAAAAGAACAAAAAGCAAATAAATCAGTCACTCAGAATAGCAGCTTTAATTCTGTGTAACGAGTGAGGGGCTAGGCTGCTGATTGTAACATGATGCACCAACAGCAATACACAGTTCATTCATTCATTCAAATGAACAAAGTCATCAGCCATGCATTACACTGCTGTGTCAGTACGTGTGCACCATGGCCACCGACCCTGCAGAACTGTACAGATAATAACAAGCAAGTAGAGAACAGGCAGTCAACTGGAGACAGACCTGTATCACTGTTGCGAGTGGTGTTCTGCTCATCTCTGCACTTAGGAAGTCCTCAGAGTTGCGAGTGGCCCATGCTAGAGGCTCATACGTTGAGTGGTTTGCGGAGAAGATTGTCCAGTCCTCCCCTGGCAGCTCACCCCACGCTGTTTCTCCTGCACGTGTTAACCGCAGCACCGGAGAACCTGCATTCAGTGCCGCATCCTGAAGACAACAGCAGAAGAAACAAATGAAACTCATACAAATACTGGACAGACATGAGACAGTTCTGAAAACTCATTCTTCAAAGGAACTTCAACCCTGTAAGACAATGCACACTGTCTTTCCTGCATTTGCTTCACACTGATGAATCCTGCAAAGAGGAGGCACACTGCCTGGAGGCCACTTATCCTCAAGTAAAACCCACAAGACAGCCACAGGACCATGAGACAACAGAGAAACAAAGAGCTTGAAATTTACAGTTTCTCATTACACTTTCCATTTAATTAATTAATTTTTCATAAACTTTTCTATTTCCATAGCAAGTCCTTTCCCCTTTTCCTCTCCTATTTCCAACAAAATTCCAATGGCTACAAATTAATTTGTGAAAATTTAAAAACAGACACACACAGAGAAACTCTGTCATGGAAAAATACAGAGCGCCTGCAATCTGTTATTCCCGTACATAACAAACTACTACAAGAAATGTCAAAAGAGTGTGAAGTCCAAGAGAGAAATAGCATAACATTATGACTGTAAGGTGCTGCTAAATTCATAAAGGTGGTGCCAGAAGGCTTCCAACAGCGGGCTTGTACCACAAAACTACAATGTCAGAAGCCTTCTGACAGACGACGACACGTGTGAAGACAGACAGGTGCCCTGAAAGACTCACTTTTAGCCTGAGGTTGGTATGTATGAACAATGGAAACCCTCGCAGCTGGGCCCCCACAAGTGTCTCCTCACTTGGGGGGTTGAAGCCCACAATCCCAACACTGTACTCCCGACAGTACTTGTCAAGCAGTTCCCGGTTCCACTTGTCCATCTGCAGGTATTTGTTGAGGTTCTCAAACACAATCACACCGTACTTTCCTTTGTCGAGGTTCGTAAGCACTGGCAGCGACTTGCCAGACACCTCCACCTTGTATCTGCCAACACACAAACAGAAACCCTCACTACATCCAAACATGTACTTCCTGTCTCCACAAACTGATGAGACAGCATCAAGGTATGCACGTCCACAGCCCCTGAAATACAATGTGATGCGTTCATGCATCACTCCCTTAATTCAAAAGGCATGTCACTGTTATACTCAGCAGAGTGCAGTGCCCCAACACACACAAATACACTCAGACAGCATACAACTGCCTTGCAGGCATGAATGCTGAGTCCAACATGAAGATGTTATGTTTTGGCACTCAGAAGATGTAATATCAAACTATTTATTTTATTTTTTTTTTGTATCCTGTTATAACAACAAGGACCGACCCTATGGTCTAGTGGTCAGAGTTCCTGGCTACAGATCGAGAGGTCCAGGTTCGATTCCCGGGCTACCAGATTTTTTTCTGAGAAGTAGTGGGTCTGGAATGGGGTTCACTCAGCCTCATGATAACTGAGGAGCTATTTCAAGGAAATAGCGGCTCCTGTCTAGAAAACCGAAATTAACGGCTGTGGGGATTCGTTGTGCTGACCACGCGACACCCTCTATCTGCAAAAGTTGGCACTAACATCGCCGACAAGTGGCGGTCACTCGGTCGGTATAGTTTGCTTGTGGACTAATATCACGGATTTTTTTTAGTAACACTGTATCATATAACATCAAAGTACTGAGGGCCATCAACACAACAACAGAGAAGATCGATTCTAATTTTAATAAAAATGGTTTAATCTACTTTGCCTCACCACTAATAATATTAACAACTGTCAACAGATACCGCACTGCTCTTGCAACCCAACTGTACGTACCCAGCCTTAACCAGCTGCACGTTATACATGAACTTTTTAAGAACCCAAGTAACTATTACAATAGGCACAATAGATCACTGTGGTTGCGGTGCAAGGGCCAAGAAAGGCCAGCCCTTATACATTCAACTATTACAATCCATTTTTATATTTCATCATGTTATACAAGAAAGGTATCACATCATTTTCCACTGAAAAAAAAAAAAGATCCCTTTGAGTGAGTAATTCAGTAATGGCACGTTTTACTTATTTACAAATTGCCTGATGTTGGTCCATGTGACCGAAATACGAAGGGGGACCCAAAAATAACCGGAACCGACCTGTTGCGCGCGCATGCTTTGTAGTTACGAGTTGTGCTGCTAGGTGGTGTTAGCTGGGGGTCTCCCGCGACTGTTAGTGAGCTGGCATCAGTCTGAGTTAAGTGGTTTGTCTGTGGTGCTCTGTTGTGTGCGTTCCTGTTTCAACCCTTTGGCGATTAGTGAGATGGCCGACCAGAAGGAACAAACAGTGTGCGTGAAATTTTGCTTTCTGTTAGGGAAAACTGCAGCCGAGACTGTTGGGATGCTTCGGCAAGCCTTTAATGATGATGCTTTGGGGAAATCACAGGTCTACGAGTGGTTTTCCCGTTTCAAATCTGGCAACATGTCAACAGAAGACATGCCACGCCCCGGGCGTCCTTCGACAGGAAGAAATGACGAAAACATTGCCAAAATCAAACGTGCAATTGATGAAGATCGTCGAAAGACCATTGACCAACTTTCTGAGGAAACGAACATCTCATGGAGCACGGTCCAGCGAATTTTAACCGAAGGTTTGCACATGAGACGGGTGTCTGCAAAATTTGTTCCTCGCTTGCTCGGAGATGACCAAAGAGAAAACCGCGTGAATGTTTGCCGCGACTTGAAGAGTGAAGTGCAGAACGATCCAGAATTTCTTAAAAGAATTGTGACTGGCGATGAGTCTTGGTGCTACGGGTACGATCCAGAATCAAAGCAATCATCAAGCCAGTGGAAAACTCCAACTTCACCACGACCGAAGAAAGCGCGTCAAGTGCGATCCAATGTGAAAACAATGTTGATTTGTTTTTTTTATGTGAATGGCATTGTCCACAAAGAGTTCGTTCCGCCAGGACAAACAGTGAACCAACATTTTTACCTGGATGTGTTACGAAGATTATGAGAGTGTGCGACGAAAACGGTCCGAAATGTGGAGAAATGGGAACTGGTTGCTTCACCATGACAATGCTCCAGCCCACACAGCTTTGACGGTCCGACAGTTTTTGAAAAGCAACAACATGGTGATTGTGCCTCATCCACCTTACTCACCCGACCTGGCTCCGTCGGACTTTTTTTTGTTTCCACGGATGAAGAGAAGTCTGAAAGGAAAGCGATTCCGTGATGTGGATGAAGTCAAAGAAAACACGCTAAAGGCTTTGAACAGTATCCAGCCTCAAGAATTCCAGCACTGTTTTGAGCAGTGGCAAAAGCGTTGGGACAAGTGCATTAATGCACATGGACAATACTTTGAAGGGGACTAATATACAGTTCAATAAAAATGCAAAAATAAAAAATAACAAAAATAAATTCCGGTTATTTTTGGGTCCCCCCTCGTATGTAGTGGTGATGACACTGACATATTGTCTGTCTGTATGTTATGTGATGTGATCAACTTTACTAAAGTCAGAAGGATCAAACTACTCTGTTATTGCGTTGATGTTTCGATACATTAATGTTGATTAAATTATTTGTGTCACTGCTGCATCTCCTTTTATCACAAACATGGCCATAAAAGCCTAAATGCACATGAACAACACATCAAACCAGTTTTCCTCACAATGACTTAACGACCGTCAGTCAGTTCAGTTCAGCGATACCAATCTGACCTACTTCAGTGTCATTTCCATGTCTGTAGGTTCCCATCATGCACTTTGTCTCACAAGAAGAAAAGCTGAGCTTCTTTCTGTAAACACTCCGAGAGCCAGCTTCCACTGGCTGGCCGGAGCATCCTGGTCTTTATCCACAGGTTGAGTCACATGCTTAAGCCAAAATGGCGGTACAGCCTGCATAAAACTTCTTTGTTTTCCAGCAATGAATGTTTTCAGATATTTCTGTTCCCTCATAATAATACTGTAACATCAATATTTGAAAAATTAATATAAATGAAAATATACAATAAACAAGGAATTAGGAACACAACAAACAATAATAATTATTATTGTTTGTTGTGTTCCTAATTCCTTGTTTATTGTATATTTTCATTTATATTAATTTTTCAAATATTGATGTTACAGTATTATTATAAATACAGTACTGATTATAATCAGTCCTGAAGATCACCCCCCCCCCTAGCCAGTTTCATACTGCACTTGTGCACTGAGCAGTATGACACGAAGGGTGTTACAGTGCAGGGCTCCACACAGGAGACTGAGGAACACTGAAAAATGAACAAAACTTTGGAACAACCAATCAACTGCCAGTTACTGAAGCTGCAAGTTAATCTAAATATTATTTATCAACTGATATCCTAACTTGCAGAAAACAGACTACTTCACAATTACAAAGACTTCTTAAACCTGTTTAGAGGAATAATTGCTGTTTTTACTGTGGATCATATAAAACATACGCTGATCACAGCGCCGTGCAGTCTAAGGCACGAACTGTCTTCATCTGCTCAGATGCTGGGATCATGGCTTCGAATCCCACTCAAGGCATCGATGTCTGTGCGTTTATACTGGGTTTGTGTTGTTCTGTGTATATGTAGCAGCCTTGAGACGGGCTGATCCCCCATCCAAGGAGTCCTACTGTATAAGGATTGAGAAACTGAAAAAGTGACAAAGGGCCAACAGAACCATAAATAGATATGAAACATATAAATACATCCTGTGGGCAGAATGCAGAATTTGTTAATGTTACTGCTGAGCGTTGAAGGACAAACAGACTTCAGAACAAATGACTATGACTGCTATGAATAGAAGCTAATGTAAACTTAACAGCAGTTCTTGCAGGAATATTAAAAAAAATCCACTCACTCCTCACTTAAGCAATAGCAGCCCACAAAGACAATCTTCAGTCATACAACCCGGCCCTGTGAAACTGGCCATAATCGGGTTCCATGACTTCATTCTCAGTCACAGAGCCTAGGCACATGCCACAGAGCCTCAGTCAGTGATTATACGGGCACAAGTCACCCCCTCCCCAAAACGCACATAATTTGAGAACAGCCGGTATCTGGACAGAGATCTGAACCAAGCACCAGGCTGGGGGTTGACAACACTCACTTGATTCTGTTGTACACTAGCAGCTCCGCGATTTCGCGGCCGAGACGCGAGTACGTCGTCTCCACAAACACGAGCACCTTGGGGTCGATGCGGAGCCTGGCGGCAGATCGGTGGTCGTGTGCCACGGCGGGCACGCGAGTGGCGCCACTCAGGATGGCGCAGCGGATCGACGGCTCTAGTCGCGAGTCACGACGCATCAGACTGAAACACAAGAAGACCCAACTGTCCGTCCGTCCATCCGTCGTGCATCAGTAAATAACTATCCCCCCAAAGCAAACAGTCGCTCGGCTAGTAATGACGTAGTAAAGTTGTCCTTGCGCTTAATCCATTAAGCACCGTGCCATTAAAACGTATAGGGGAGCGGAGGTATAGCTCCACTGTTCTTGACCTCGGCACTAGCTGGATGGAGGTGAGTTCGGCTTCACGCCCCTGCCGTGTAAGGTAAAAGGTAAAGCTGTCCCTATGCTTGACTAATTAAGCACTACGTCATGAGGGCGTATGGGGGAGTGGATACACAGATCCACATTTTTCTTGACCTCGGCACTAGCTGGACGCCCTTGCCGCGTACCCGGCTAAATTCCATCGTATAGGAGGCTGGGTAGACCCCGCAGCCGGTCTGGACGCTGTGAAGTATCGAACCCGGGCCATCCAGCCCCGTAGCACGCCGCTATACCGACTTATCTATCCCGGCCCGGACCCCGCCTCTTAGGGAACATGGGGAGTCCATTAGAGTTCACAGGGGCCCGACTCCCACCAGTTGACATAAAGCTACGAGCCACTTCATGTTCATCACAATACGAAACAACACGCGACCAAAAGTAAACGCGAGGAACGACAAGGATTCAAATGTTGGCAGACAGAGTTTACAAATTATTCCCAAATTCGTTCGTAACGCGTAGTAAGGAAGAGACGGGAGCACAATTCCGGCACGCTCCTTGTCCTGAGGATAACACGTGTGTTGCTTCTTGTGTTCGCGGGTCGCGCTCCAGGTTAGGTGTTCGTGTAAAGTCCCCGATTTTAACAGAAATTCGAATGTGTCGGCAAACATCAGACTTCACGGCAATCCGTTAAACACCGACCGACCGACCGGCATACTTTTGGAAAACACCACGATGTCTCGTGTTGGAGTGTGTAGTTTCCTTCAGTGTTCATTAAAAGGAGGGAGACGTCGCGTCGCGTCGCGTCACGTCACGTCACGTCACGTCATACGGACAGCCACGAAACACGTGATGCTCTAGGCAGTGGGACGATAGCGTACATGTCTGGCTTCAAACGACGCGATCCGTGGAAACGAAAAATCGCATCAACTAAAACAACAAACTGTCGTACGCTGATATGTTGGGATTTTGGACTTTATCCATCGTCCTGGTTTTTAAGATAACAAATAAAAACACGACGTTTCGGAAACAGATCCAGTTTCCGAAACGTCGTGTTTTTATTTGTTATCTTAAAAACCAGGACGATGGATAAAGTCCAAAATCCCAACATATCAGTGTGTTATACACCATCGTCAGAATCCTATAGTAACTACAAACTGTCGTACGGATTCTCACGCTGCCATGGAAACCGGTTTGTTACGTCTACTGAGTAACTAACAATACATACTGCCTGCCCAATTATCCGGCTCAAAATAAAGTCGGCATTTGCGGCGTCTTGCAGACCCGAAAAAAATGTTAATTTTAAACTGTATTTGTAAACCATCCAGTATAAGGGTTGGACAGCTGAGGAACCGGGGTTCGATTCCTGGCAAAAGCAAGAGATTCCTATTTTCTGTACAGCGCCTAGACCCGAGTTGGGCCTCGCCCAGCTTGTCTAATGCGTATCCCGGGGCGTGAAGCTGACCACTCACTTCCAACTGGAGCTATACCTCTATGCCCCATACGTCCTCAAACCTTATTTAAACACAGGGATGAACTTTACCTTATCGGATTATGCGAGTCATATTACATGCCGGGACACTATACGCCTTAATGGAATGGGATGCAGTCTGGTAGGTGGGTACAAACGTCTCAGAGGAACCTGGCGCCTCTATCTTCAGGAATAACATTTCTTTCCAGCATGCCCCTGGTAGCGCTGCCTAACAGGTTCAGGCCACAGGCGAAACAGATCGCGACCGATCGCTCTTCAGTCCTTTGCAGATCACTGTGCATTATCGCCCCCTGTTCTCACGCGGCGCGAAGTGCTTTGTGCAGTACCTGCGGCCCCTGCCTCTCTAAGTGTGGGCCTGCATAATCGATTTGAGTACGAACTCAGAATCGTGTAGTTTCTTTGTGTACCCGGCGCTACACGCCAGTCACTGCGCCGAAATTGGTCCGAACGGCGTTTTGTGAACTGACATGCAGAGATAATCAGGCAGCGTCAGGTAGAGCTGTCACGGTTTGCCCAAGATAATGACCGGTTACACCAATAAAGGGTCCGGATTCTGTGCGTCGCTCTTTGTGCCCCTACATTCACAGTAAGAGCCCGGCGTGTGACAGCGCCAAACAAGAAAACTGTGGCCCTACTACACATACCAAATACATTGGCCCGCTTCAATACAGTCCGCCTTGAGCAATCATAAGGTAAAAAGGTACAGCTTTCCTTCCGCTTAATTAATTAAGCACATCGCCATGAAGACGCATGACGGAGTGGAGGTATAGCTCCAGCATTCTTGACCTCGGCACTAGATAGGAGTGATCGATCGGCTTCATGCCTCTGTCCCCTTAAGCCTGGAGGAGCCCCTGATACCCACTGAATAGAAGGCTGGCTGGGCCCCAGAGCTGTTTGGATGATTTGGAGAACAGAAACAAAATCTCTTGCTCCCGCCGGGAATTGAACCCCGGCCGTTCTGCTCCTAGGTCGTCGGTATACCGACTGAGCTACCCCGGCAATCATACGGAAGTGAAGTCATGCGTGTTCAACGAGACCTCCGGTTTGGCAATAATGGAATGTAGTTAACTTTCTGATAAGGGCCGCGCCATAGCTCAAGCGGTTAGTCGCTGGCTTCCCATCGCGGCGGCCCGGGTTCGATCCCAGGTCTGATCAAGTGGGACTTGTGGTGAACAAAGTGGCGCTGGAGCAGGTTTTCTCCGAGTACTTCCGTTTCCCCTGCCAATCTTCATTCCACCAATTGCTCCACAACCACCCTCACCTATCATGTGGGGCTGGTACAACAGGCCAGAAGTGGTCGCAGTACAAGGGACTTAGTCCCACCCCACTAGCAATACAAAAAATAACTTTCTGATAACGACGTCATCATCTACGTCACTTCCTGATGACATAACATTACAGATGCTTTAGACACAGTTCGGCGGTAACAAAGGGATCTGAGTTTCTCACAGCGGTGTGATGTCGTGCAGTCTGGTGAGAAGTTGTAAGATTTGAGGCTTTCACGGCGGTGACTATGAAGAAAGCAGTCTTCTGGGATTTGGCACCGTGTATATGTGGTGTTAACCGACGTTTCGGAGGAACGTAGCGCCCCATCTTCAGTCTGCTTTACCGTTTCTCACGGTGTTGTCGCTTGCAGATTTCTTATACTTTTTCTTCTACCCTGAAGATGGGGGCGATACGTTCCTCCGAAACGTCNGGGACCACGGGCCTCGACCACTCAATTTTATAAAGAAGATAACGGTTTTAAAAGGAACAATATACCAAGTATTAACACCAAAAATGAAAAAAGATTTTACTCTGCAGCAGTCAGAAAAAAAAATAGTTTTAAACTGCTTAAACCTAAGAGCAGCACATGGGAGTACAACATGTTCCGTCATGTCTCGCATAACTGGAGGAATGATGAAATGACATGCCTCCGAAAGTCTGGTCAATTCAGGTTGTCGTCTTCTACGGTGTGACACCGTGTAGTCTTGTAGACGGATACCGAAGTTCCGGATGAACATTCTGCCTCCGATGTCATGGCAAGACAAAGAAATGACTCGGTTATACCGGCAAGGAAGGCGGCTCATTTTCCCTTCCTCTGGGTCTGAGTGACCATCCAACACAAGCAAACCACCCTCACCCTACCTGAAGAGGGAAACAGCGCGTTCCTCCGAAACGTCAATGTCCGCCTACAAGACTAGACGGTGCCATAACTCAGAACTACTCAGAGTGAATACCCAATCAAAAAGGGACGGCAGAGCTGATCACTTGCTCATTTAATTAAGCACCATGTATGGGGGAGGCAATACATGGGAGCGATCAGTTTCACGTCCCTGTCGCTTTAACCCCGGGGAAAGAGCTCCACAGTACCCATTGTACAGGAGGCTGGGCGGGCCCCAAAGCCGGCCTGAACTACGGAGAATAGAGAAAAAAATATTCTTCCCCTGCCGAGAATTAAACCCGGGGGGCAATGTCGGCCCGCAGCACGTCGCTATACCGACTGAGCTATCCCGGCTCTGGAGGAGAGGTGAGAAAACGACGAGGGTTACATTTGTTCAAAACATTGGCAAACAACAACAAAATTTGCTCGCACCCTTTTGGCACCTGTCACAAAACAGCGCGGTGTTTGCAAAGGCCAACTACGGGACTTTGATCCTTATCGACTGGCAACAGTGACAGACCATTCGCCGCATTCATCGGCATCAGAAAACGGTTTTACTGCTTGCAATCACGAATCAATCTCGCCACACAGATCTGACCTTACCTGGAGAACGGAGTATTGACGAGGTAACGCGTGTAACAGAAGATGGAAATGATGCTGAGGACCAACAGTGCCGCCACACATCGCTTCACGGTTCCTTGTTTGACCAGAATGCACCTCGGCCTCCTAGACACCATCTGGCGTCGCAGTCCAATCATCAGGCTCCCCTTTCTCTCCACAAAGGGCAACAATGGCTTATACAACGACGCAGCTACCATTGTCGATGAATTCTCCGTCATCATGGAAATGTGGCTTTCCTCATAATAACACGTGCGTACTTATTCAAAATAACGTCTCAACATGAGACAGCACTACTGTTCAAACACTTCACTTTTCCGAAGTATTTCTCTGTAATACTAATTCCGACTTGTGTCTATGTATCTGTCGGATGTTTCGTCGTAAAAACAAAAAGAGACAGTTCTCTTACGTCAGGCAGCATTGTTTCACGAATATTTCCAAAACAACTAAACACAAATACGAATTTCTGTGCAAACGGAATGCTTAAATAATTCACAGATTACAACAGATTCCATTTTAATTGTATGGAATCCCATTTTACATCACGCGGACAGACAAAAGTATGTTTGTGTTTCTAAATACGTTCTCTACGAATCAGTCAAATCTGTTGTACCGCATGAGACGGATAATATGCATATTTATCTATCTATCTTTTTGTGAGTCCGCCATTTGCTGTGTTTCCAAACTGCTCGCAAACTACACCGAATGGCAGCCATGTTGCACTCGAGGTAAAATGCAGAACCTCTTCCGTCCGACAGAAAAGCAGCCCACAATGCAGTCACAACCACAATGCATCACAACAAGCCTTCCTCTGCTGCTCCGCTCGAATCGATGACGTCAGAGATCACGAACTTCTCAATCTGATGGAGTCTGGTCAGCGGGCTCTTCTTAGATATAAAGATGACGTAAACAGCCTGGAAAGATAAGAGAGTGTGTCAGTCAGTTCACCAGCAGGAAACATTTCTGAAGGGGAAATACCAGACGCAAAATCTTTGTCCGTCGGATTGCGTTAGCCTTCAACATTACTGTCTTTACGAGGGGCTTTCTTGTAAGCAGCAGCGTCGTATTATTAATGAGAATGGAAACTTCAAACCTGACAAAACGACCTAAATGTTTACTTCAACTTGACACGAACCAGCTCTACTTAAGTCATCGAAACGTTCAACGTCTCGCCATATCTACTCCATCTTCATGGTCAAAAGAGAAACCTCATTATTCAGGAGCAGTCTTCAACAGATCAAAAAGAAGATTCCCTAATCGGAAACCTCACTCCAACTTCGTCTCAGATTTAAGGAATGTGACAAAATAAGCGTCTGGCACCGTCACCGTCACCGTCGAACGATTGGATTGGGCACTGAATTGCAAGGAACATGAAAGCGGCGGCTACGATCTAATCTGGCATTTGCCTGCAGGGACTGAGGAAAACCGATGTCTCGGCTGAGATTCGAATAGAAGTGAGGAGCGTTACCGGCTGTCAGCCTGCTTGCTAATGAGGCTAATGAGCACGCTATCTCTGAACTGCGCCATCTTCTCGCCAGACGTGAAGTTCTCACGGATGTGAGTGTTACACAGTATCCTTGGGTGTACCGCGATGTGCCCCGACAGACACGTACCGACGTTTTGTGGGAACCGGACGCTTCCATCTTCAGGTTAGCGGAGTAAATAAAGCTGAAGACACAAGCCCTAAGTCGAAATTATCCCTATAAAGCCCGAAATTCAGTCCTATTAAGTACAGGGCCCACGATCTGACTATCAGCAAATAAACAACAAATTCCACTGGGTCAGTCTCGCTGGCGTAAGTACGCATTCTGAATCGATCGACTATTTAAGTCGATTTCCACGAGGTTCCCTGCCTCTCCGAGTCCCACGGCTGGTACACATCTTGGCTCAGATTTTCGGGATTTTCTTCAGTCACCCCAAGCAGCTGGACTTTTAAACATTCAACTACGTGTCCTTCAGATCTGTCGCGCCTCGTCCATTCATGACCTTTAGCAGTTGATAAATAAGCTACAAAATACCAATAAAAACACAACGGTCAGCAGCAGTCCGGTTCTCTCCTAGGGGTCGGTGTTCAACATGGCATGGCATTGTCTCTCCGTCTGTCAAGACGCGGGCTGGAGGCAATTTTGTTGTGTTCTGGGTTATGACAGTGCAGTCCCGCAGTACACGGTGCCAACACAGTGCCTCTAAGCATGGCGCCTGGGTTACGACACGCAGTCCCGCAGCACACGGTGCCAACACAGTGCCTCTAAGCATGGCGCCTGGGTTACGACACGCAGTCCCGCAGCACACGGTGCCAACACAGTGCCTCTAAGCATGGCGCCTGGGTTACGACACGCAGTCCCGCAGCACACGGTGCCAACACAGTGCCTCTAAGCATGGCGCCTGGGTTACGACACGCAGTCCCGCAGCACACGGTGCCAACACAGTGCCTCTAAGCATGGCGCCTGGGTTACGACACGCAGTCCCGCAGCACACGGTGCCAACACAGTGCCTCTAAGCATGGCGCCTGGGTTACGACACGCAGTCCCGCAGCACACGGTGCCAACACAGTGCCTCTAAGCATGGCGCCTGGGTTATGACAGTGCAGTCCCGCAGTACACGGTGCCAACACAGCGCCTCTAACCATGGCGCCTGGGTTATGATAGCGCAGTCCCGCAGTACACGGTTCCAACACAGTGCCTCTAAGCATGGCGCCTGGGTTATGACAGTGCAGTCCCGCAGTACACGGTGCCAACACAGCGCCTCTAAGCATGGCGCCTGGGTTATGACAGCGCAGTCCCGCAGCACACGGTGCCAACACAGCGCCTCTAAGCATGGCGGCTGGGTTATGACAGTGAAGTCCCGCAGTACACGGTGCCAACACAGCGCCTCTAAGCATGGCGCCTGGATTATGACAGTGCAGTCCCGCAGCACACGGTGCCAACACAGCGCCTCTAAGCATGGCGCCTGGGTTACGACAGCGCAGTCCCGCAGCACACGGTGCCAACACAGCGCCTCTAAGCATGGCGCCTGGGTTATGACAGCGCAGTCCCGCAGCACACGGTGCCAACACAGCGCCTCTAAGCATGGCGGCTGGTATTGCTACACTGCTCAGTCAAATACCTGATGATGGCTTAATGAGCTATGTAAGAAACGTATGGTGCATCCATACTTCCAACTGTGGTGACAGAATAAAATGCACATAATATGACGCTAAAATATTCATTCATCATTCATCATTCATCAGTAATCCGTCAGACGACAGGTCTACAGTCTCTTCCAAAACAGTTCCTCCACTTAATGCGATCTCAAGCTTTCTAATTCAATTAAAATATCCTCTTCTGTCCCCAAGGTCATCCAGCATCTTCTTACGTCTTCTTCGTCGTCTTCTGGGCACTTCTATCCGCCCCTCCGGTTTGTTTTGTCTCCAGATGAAACATCTCGCATACATGGTATCACTGTTTTTGGAAAGAGACTATCCAGGAAAAGTGATAATGTGGTAGTTTTTCCATTTGCATTCCACATCGCAGTACAGCAGCCGTTCAAACCACTCAGGTCACGCCTGTTGCTATACGAACTTGAACCATCTCGGGCATCATTTGCTCTGTGCTTCAAGTCGCTGCTGATGACGCTGCTTCCGCTAAAATATATTTTTAAGAAAAAAAACAAAATGCTTCCGCCCGGGATCGAACCGGGGACCTTGCGCGTGTGAGGCGCACGTGATGACCACTACACTACGGAAACTATATAGACCTATGAGTTCCTTCCGCCGGCTACCAGGGACAACTTTCGGTATGTGACGACGTAAAGTCCAGTATCAGTTAACTGTCGTTTCGGAGGAACGTACTGCTTCCATCTTCACGGTCTAAGAGTAAGCGAAACTAACAACCACCAAGAAGCACGCAGAGTGGTTCCTTGGTTTACTCTTCAGCCCTGATGATGGCAGTAGTACGACGGTGAACTTTCGAGCGGACTACAAAGTGAACACGCCCATCCTTCAGAACACTGTTAGGTTTGCCGCTATGGTGCAATCACTAAACTCCACACTACTACTCAAAACCGAGCGGATTATCGTGGCATCAGAGTTCCAGATTTGTATTCGGTAGGTACTCGGTTCGATCCAGTGCCGCATTATTACCACAAAAGAGTTTTAGTGGTGTTCCACAGACCCTCCAAGCAAGTTACGGGAAAATACCCAGTGTTTCCCTATCCCTAGCATCTGAGGCTCGCCAGGCAGCAGTGGATGGAAACTTTGTGGTGTCCTGACCCGACAAGGAGTGGTTTTTCAGCTTGGGGGTTTGACGTGGAGCTAACAACTTTCTCACTGCATAAGATAAATGTTACGAAATGTTACACGACCCGACTACTTAGTGTGTGTGAAAAGCTGTATTTCAATTAACAGAAGATGTAAGCTACCGTAAGCTTAGTATATCTCGTTTACTTCCTTATGTTGACTCTTGTTAAAAACCTTGACATGTTCCGATACTGCAAGGCCATCTTCTGGGGGATATGCCACATTAAAGGAAAATTCACATATTACACAAAAAGAAAACAAATTCCGTGGTCTGTAGTCCGCAAACAAACTATACCGACATATGCATATGTATATATATACACCCCTCCCACTCCATAGGGTGGAGATCTGGGGATATTCGTCGAGGTTTTTGATAGGTGAAGTATTTCCTTTGATACGGTATATCCCCTGAATATGGTCTTGTATAAGATCGAAACATGTTGGGGTTATAACACGTAATCAACACAAGGAAACACAGCAGAACACTTCTTACTGGCGCCTCGCACTGACGGAAGGGCAGGGTGCGGACTCTGAAGGGGCAAAATGTGAGGAAGATGGAGAAATCCAGCACAATGAGCAGCTTCAGAATTTGTACTCCTTGCTAAATATCAGGGCGCTCAAATCAAGGATTCAGCTGGCATGGGACAGAAGAGCACGGAAACACGCCGCTGGGAAAGCCTGCGCGCAGACGGAAGGATACTATTAAAATGGGTCGATCGTAAGGTTTGGCGTCAATTAACTGACTCAGGACAGGAACCAGCGACGGGTTCTTGTGAACACGGCTATGAACCTTCAGTTCCATAAAATGCTGTGAATTTCTTAAGTAGCGGAGTGACTTGTTAGCTTTAGGCCGCGCCATAGCTAAAGCGGTTAGTAGCTGGCTTCCCACGCGCGGCGGACCGGGTTGGATCCCGGGTCTGGTCAAATGGGATTTGTGGTGGACAAAGTGGCGCTGGGGCGGGTTTTCTCCGAGTACTTCGGTTTCCCCCGCCAATCTTCATTCCACCAAATTCTCCATCATCATAATCACCCGGGGCAGGCCGCCGTGCCGAGTGGACCCAGTTGGACTCCACTGTCAGCTTCTCAAGAAGAAGCCCCTTGCATGAGGTGCGTGAGGCACAGCGCTGCGAGGGGCCCAATTGAAGATAACTACGTAAAGCAGTGTCAAGGAAGTGCAGAGATATCCACAGGCCAGAAAGTCGGCGGGAGCGCGGGTCCCAACAAGTCCAAGCGCTCCCCTCGTGGGGAGGGGGGGAGTCCACTGGGTTGGAATTTACCGTCAAATACCAGGAATTTTTCTGAGAAACTCGTCGAATTGTTAAATATCTGAGACGCAAACGTCAAGGCCTCCAGTAACAGAACTGTACTGTCCAATGCGTCTGGATTCAGTTGCCACGGGTAGGGGGGGAGGGGCATCGGCGGGCTCCTGTGAATCTGTAATGAGCCTTCCTCACTAGCTGAATTATTACAGAGACAAGACAGTGCTCAATCTAGTTCGCTGGTTGGCTAGCCTGTTTGTTTGTTTGTTTGTTGGTCATTCAGTTGATGCACTATACCATGAGACGACGACCGAGCGTACAGCCTCTGACGCAACGTCCACCGTCATCAAAATATTTCATTTCATCGTACATTCTGGAA